TTAAGGGTTCTATCTATACTAATGGCTTTTATAATTTCCACACCTTACTTATCAATTACAAAGCACATATATTGCCAAGTTATATAACTGTTGTCATCCATATTTCCAAGTTATTTCCTTTTTTCCCTTTGAAAATATAGGGCCTTGTCTGGTTGTTAACCTGTTATTCTTTGGCAAGTTGGATTTATCTTTAAAATTTCTCCTAATTGCTTAATTTCTTTAACTGATATCTTTTCATATTTTAGTAGGTGGATACCTTTGATGGTCCTCTAATTTTTTTTTTAGAGTTAAGCGGTTTTCCCTAGGGTCAAGGTCCAAGGCACTGGTTTTTAAAAATAAAATATATACCTTTTTGCTCATACAGCCTTTTTATTTTTTAGTTAATGTCTTAGTTTAATACAAAACACTTCCTTTCGGGTTGGGCTGTAGTATTGGGTCATTTGGGTCAAGGTCAATGTTACCAATGTCAAGGGTTCACCAATGTTTAAAAATAGGATTTTTACAGGTGGTGAATTGACCTTATTCTATAGGACAGATGTTTATTTATAATTTTATAGAAACATAAACTTTTTGGAAGTTAGTGGTCAGTTGGGTCAAGGTCACCAGTGCTAAAAAATAGATTTTACACATTTGCTTCCATACAGCCTTATTAAGTGACAGATATTATTTTATATTTGGTTAGGAAGATAACTTGCAATGGTATTATCCTTTTATTGAGGTTAGGATCGTGGGTCAAGGTCACTTGTGCTAAAAATAGTTTTTTACCACTTTTGCATTACAGCTTTTATTGTGTCGCCTTTTAAAAGGTGCATTATAGGGGTTACTTTTTCGGGCAAGTGTCGGCGGCGTCTTGTGTCGGCGTCGTTGCCGCGTCCCCTTTAAAAGCTTGTCCGGAGCATAACTCGTCACTATAAGTCTGAATGACTTTCAAAACTTGGTATGCATGCTTCTTTCAATAACCTGAAGTGCAAGTGCACAAGGACCGGTACTCTGAGTTTCTTATTTTTGAATTGCCCTTTTTTTAATTTTCATACTTTAATTTTGTCCGGGGCCATTTCTCTTTCAACTAAAAAAGCTATGGACTTTGAAACTTCTAGGATGAAATCTTCATTATTAAGAAGTTTAATTGCCAACAAGAACCAGTACTCTGCATCCTAATTTTTGAGTTATTGCCCTTTGTTAATTTTCATACTTTATTTTTGTCCGGGCCCATTTCTCCTAATGTATAAAATCCATTTGGAACTTTGAAAACGTTCATTAGTGATGAAGGTTCTCATTAAGAAGAAGTGCAGGTGCACAAGAACTGGTACTTCTGCATTTCTTATTTTTTTTGAGGGTTATTGCCCTTTGGTTTTTTTTTTAATTCTTTAATTTTGTCCGGGCCATTTCTCCTTAAGTATTTAAAAACTATGGACCCTTGAAATTTTCATAGGATGATAGATCTCATTATTAAAGAAAGTTGCAGTGCAACAAGAATCGCGTTACTCTGGCATTTTCTTAATTTTTGAAGTTTATGGCACTTTGTTAATTTTCATACTTAATTTTTGTCCAGGCCCATTTCCCCTATTAAAAATTAACCTGTGAGATCAGGAACGTTGCAGTGAGGTAACCCCATTTGTTGATTTTTAGCTCTATTTTCGATAAGAATAAAGTAGAGCAAGCATTTTGTACAGTTTTTGTAGAATTTTTCAAAAGTCCATTGCATATGGCTTTGAACTTTGCACACTTGTTCACCATCATGACCCCAACCTGTAGACTCATCAAGCATTTTGACAGAATTATGCCCCTTTTCGACTTATGTTAAAGTTTTTTGTAATAGTTTCAAATATTTTCAAAGTCCATTGACATATGGCTTTGAAACTTTGCACACTTGTTCACCATCATGACCCAACCTGTAGACAGGAGGAGGTAACTCTATCAAGCATTTTGACAGAATTATGCCCCTTTTTTGACTTAGAATTTACGTTAAAGTTTTTGTAATAGTTCAAATATTTTCAAAGTCCATTGACATTATGGCTTTGAAACTTTACACACTTGTTCACCATCATGACCCCAACCTGTAGACAGGAGGAGGTAACTCTATCAAGCATTTTGACAGAATTATGCCCCTTTTTCAACTTAGAATTTATGTTAAAGTTTTTGTAATAGTTCAAATATTTTCAAAGTCCATTGACATATGGCTTTGAAACTTTGCACACTTGTTCAACATCATGACCCCAATCTGTAAACAGTAGGAGGTAACTCTATCAAGCATTTTGACAGAATTAAGCCCCTTTTTTGACTTAGAATTTACGTTAAAGTTTTTGTAATAGTTCAAATATTTTCAAAGTCCTTTGACATATGGCTTTGAAACTTTGCACACTTGTTCACCATCATGACCCCAACCTGTAAACAGGAGGAGGTAACTGTATCAAGCATTTTTTTTACTATCAAGCACTAAGAATAGTCGAGCGTTGCTGTCCTACCGACAGCTCTTGTCTTACTTTATTTTTGTCCTGGTCATTTCTCCTCAAGTATGAAAGCTATGGACTTGAAACATCATAGAATGATAGATCTAATTGATAAGAAGTGCAGTGTACAGAAACTGCTGCTCTGCACTTATTATTTTTTTAGTTATTGCCCTTCGTTATTTTTCATATTTCATTTTTGTCCTGGCCATTTCCCCTAAACTACATTGTTCACAAGGCGACACATCCGACTCGCAGAGTTCTAGTTTATTGACAGTTGTATTTCATATTTGGTAGGAAGATAACTTGCATGGTATTCTTCCTTTGGATGGAGTAAGGGGTCAGTTGGGTCAAGGTCACCAGTGCTCAAAATAGATTTTTACACTTTTGCACATACAGCCTTTATTTAATGACAGATGTATTTCATATTTGGTAGGAAGATAACTTGCATGATGTTGAATATTTTTCAACTTCACAAGTCAGAGCAATGACTTGGCAACTTATATTTTTCACAATTACACAATGCCATGACTTTGTCAAGCTATAAAACTTGTGTTTACAATTTTTTGGTGATTTTTCTGTCCATAACTGAGTGAATGGGTAAACATTTATGAAGTATTGCTACTGACAAGAATCTGAGCCGGGGGCATTTGTGTTTAACAAACACGTTCTTGTTTCAAGTTGTTTTCGCTGCCGCAAAATAAAATATACAAAAGACATCCAATGTTAGAGGCGGATTGTAAACTGTTACCAAGATTGATTCAAGAGTAAAGGGCTTTTTTTCAGCGGAAATAATTGATTCAGCGGATGTACCTTTTGATTAAATGAGAGTAAATTTCATTTCATTAATTATCTTTGTTAATATTTTTCATTGTATTTATATATTTATTTTATTTTATTGATTCCATTTTTTTTTTGCTACTGGGAATGGTCGTTACCCCTGCCCCATTGGAGCCTCTATGAAAAAAAACTGCATTGATATATACAAGGTGCGAAAAAAAACTTGACCAATATATAACAGTCGAGTTTTTTCCTATATAAATCAATGAAAAAACTGTACTGCTATATATCAATACAGTTTTCAAATGCTCATTGAAGTGTACTGAGTATAATGGGTTAGTAAGAACAAAGGAAAAGTTCCAAACCATGTGATAAGTATAAATAATGTACTGTTTACTTTTATTGCTATGAATTTACTAACTGGGTAATTTAGATGGTTTTTTACCTGATATATTGGAAAAAATTATGTCAACAATTCCTTGCAATAAATTACTATTTGTTTACATGTTTAGTTTCTTAGCGTAGGTTAGACTGTAATACCGTATCCTTTCTGTGTATTCTTACTATTGTGTCCTTATCAGAAGCTGGATGAAAAAATGTGATTGTAAAACATTAAAAAAATTCACATGTAGACTAAAAATAACATAATTTATATATAATTACTGTTAGTTTGTTGTTTATAGTTTAAGATGTTAGTCATTGGGAACAAATTGTACTAGTTTGTATATTAAATTATGATTATTATCCCCCGCTGAAAAATTTCGGCGGAGGATATAGAAATAGTCTCCGTCCGTCCGTCCGACCGTCCGTCCGTCCGACATTTTTGTCCGGAGCATATCTCTAAAAGTATTTGAGTTATCAACTTGAAACTTCATAGGTGGATAGACCTCATTGAGGAGGAGTGCAGTGCACAAGAATGATAACTCTACCTTGCATGATTTTTGAGTTATTGCCCTTTGTTATTTTTCAAAATTGATTTTTGTCCAGAGCATAACTCCAAAAGCCTATGAGATATTAACATGAAACTTCATAGGTGCATAGATCTCACTCAGGAGGTGTGCAGTGCACAAGAATGATAACTCTACCTTTCATAATTTTTGAGTTATTGCCCTTTGTTATTTTTTATACCTAATTTTTCACCTGAATGGAGCATAACTCAAAAAGTGTTTGAGATATCAACATGAAATGTCATAGGTGGATAGATCTTATTGAGGAGGAATGTTGTGTGCAAGAATGATAACTCTTCCCTATACAATTTTTGAGTTATTGCCCTTTGTTTTTTTTCATGCTATTTTGTCCAGAGCTTATCTCAAAAAGTATTTGAGGTATCAGCTTGAAACTTTATAGGTGGATGGATCTCATTGAGGAGGAGTGCACTGCACAAGAATGATAACTCTACCTTGCATAATTTTTGAGTTATTGCCCTTTGTTCTTTTTCATACTTAATTTTTCAATTCAATTTTTTTCTCAAAAAGTATTTGAGGTATCAACTTGAAACTTCATAGGTGGATAGATTTTACTGAGGAGGGATGCAGCACACAAGAATGATAACCTACCCTGCATTATTTTTCAGTAATTGCCCTTTGTTATTTTCAGCCATCAGTATTCACATAGGTTTCAAATCTGTAATCACTATAGCCATCAGTTTTCATTACCAAAAGACCTCTTAAAATGGAATTATTCCGCTCTACTACATAATTTATACATTCTTCCTATGAGCAAACACATTCGGCGGGGGATGGTCATGTTGACATGGCTCTTGTTATTTTGTAGACTGTGGCACCAGCTAACAGGGAACAACAGAGTACAGGTTTGTTTGTTTGTTTGTTTCATTTTACGCCTTTTTCCAACAGTATTTCAGTCATATAGGCGGGTAGTTTCCTAACCATCGTTCCTGGAGAGTTACACCAGTACTAGATTACCTTCCTCCGCGCTAAACTAGCAAAGCACCCTCGGGGATCGAACCCACGCCAGAGAGGTAACTGGATTAGAAGTCATTGACTCTAACCCCTCTACCACAGAGGCGGTTAATTGACAGTTATCTATACCTTGATGGTACATGTATATAGTAACCATGTCTCCTCAGAGAGACATCTGAACTTAGTGGTGACAAAATAAGCAGTATATGGAATATCTACTTTCCTGAAAGTTTGTTTTTTTTCTGAATCAGAAATGTTAATGGAATGTAAAATGGAAAGGGTCTTTTTTGATTAAGAAGTTCCTAATTATTGAGTATTAGATGATATTATAATTAGTTATATATTATCTTTCTTTGTGAAAAAAGGAGTGTCAAACACTGAAAAGGTTGTATTGTATAAATCATTTTCTGTGTATAGACAAATAAAAGGAATGTCTTTGGCTGAGTGGTTAAGGTCCTAGTCTACAAACCACTTGCCCCTCACCACTATGGGTTCGAATCTTGACAGGTACTTTGGATTCTTTCATGTGTGGAAGCTATCCAGCTAGCTTACAGAACATTGGTGTTTCTACTCAGATGTTTGTTGATAAAGTTAAAGTTAAAAGTTGTTAATTATTGAGTATTAAAGGATACTACTTATATATTATGTTTCTTCGTGAAAAACCTCTTTTTCAACCTCTAAAGAGGTTGTGTTTTATTAGTCATTTTCTCTGTAAAGAAAAATAAAAGGAATGTCTGTGGCCTAGTGGTTAAGGACATGAACTTCAAACAACTTGCTCCTCACCCCTGTGGGTTCGAATCTTGACAGGTACTTTGGATTCTTTCATGTGAGGAAGCTATCCAGCTAGCTTACAGAACATTGGTGTTTCTACTCAGATGGCCATTTGTGTTCCATGGAAGGACACCTGAGGCCACCAGAAAACATGGAAAGTCACCTGTGCTGTGTTGGAGCAAGGTAAAACCCAACAAACTTATTCTTGTTGACAAGGAAACTTGTGATTGTTGATTGTTTTATTCTATTGGAACTTGAATGCTTATTTTGTAGTTAATTTTACAGGGAAATACCGGATAGAAGAAAGGGAGATAAGAGCTAGAATGGATAGCCCAAATATCAGAAAAGTGCTTGAGCTGGGATTCAGTAGAGATGTTGTGATGAATACATTACGTAAAAGGTTGAGAGAAACAGGTTAGTTTTTATTTTAGTTCTATAACAAATTCTGACCTACGTACCGATCATTTTGTTCAGTTTTGAAATTTTGTTAAGTTAATATGGGAAATGAGCCAGGGGAAAAACATTGTTAAATATCATTGGATCAATGCTTTCATTTCTGTATAAAAGACATATCTTTAAGATCTATTGTTCTCTTGCTTTTCTGAAAGAATTATACAAATAATACAGTGTCAAATTGAAGGCAAGAAAAAAAGGAAACATTTAGGAATTTTGCTCTTTATGCTTGTGGTCTTTATGCCTGTGATAATGAAATGCTTACACAATGTATTACAAACAGAGGTAATATTTATTATTTTACACCCTTCCTCAATGCAATTATATTCTTTGTATTTAAGAGTTTGACATATCTCTAATTTAGTGTTAAGGAAGACATTTTCATACCCTTGACTAGTGTCAGGCTAGTTGCCAAAGTTAGTTAAAATTGGCATTTAGTTCAATGTACAAAATGTATGTCAAAAAGAAAATTGTCATTAAGTGAAATATACAGCTCTCTCATTCTATAGTCAATATTCAAACAAGAAGTTATAAACTGGTGACTTTTTTCCCAAGGTGATGATTTCCCTTCCATAACAACTTTAATGGAAGCCATTTACAAAGAGGAGGCAGAAGAAACCAGACGGCAATCCCAGAATCCACCTCAATCACAGAATAATGCACCATCCCAGAATGCAACACAATCCAAGAATTCCTCACAATCATCTGCTATCACAGGATCTGAGAATGTATCAGATCAGACTGGTTCTAATGATATTATTGAAGAAATTGCTGGTATGACTGATCTAACTGTAAACCAGTCTGAGATCAACAAAGATAAAGGAAAACAAGATCCTGGAACTAGTAAGAAAAAGCCAGATGTGAAAGGTTCCTCCAAAAATGATATTGCTGATGATATGAGTGGCAAATCATCTCCACATGTACATGCTCAAGGTATTTGAATATTTTTTGTGCAGAAATTTAATTTCAAGATAACTATCTCATCCTTGTTATGTAGCAGTATTTTGTTAGGCATTTTATTTCCTTGACAGTTTTGTTTTATGTCAAAATTATTAAACCCAATGCCAAAGCAGAAAAAAGAAGGAAAAATATAGTAATATGGCATTATTTTAAACATAATATATTTATTTAAGATTGATTATAATATGTTAAATCCGTTCAAGTTTTTTACCTGAACTACCATCTTTAACCTTAAGAATGCTGGCAGTGACTGACTTTATCCTTTGGACCAGTGCAGACCATGATCAGATAGCACAGATCAGTGCAGACCAAGCCCAGCCTTGACATCTGTGCTGTGTCTGGTCATGATCTGCACTGTTCGCTCTGAACTTAAAACAAGTTAAGAATTTCCCTAAAAAAGCTTCATGGTTTGTCCATAATATTGCATGATGGGCAAGTCCATTTATGATAATTAAGCAAGGTGATCGTTAAATAATAAATGAGTCTATATATTTTCAGTTATTTGCTTTTTTCTCATTCACAGCTGATGATCTTATGAAAGAAAACATAGAGTTAAAGGAACAGCGATTATGTAAAATTTGTATGGTATCTGATGCCAATGTTGTGTTCCTGCCCTGCGGCCATCTTGTTTCCTGTGCAACCTGTGCTCCGGCTCTTCAGCAGTGTCCAATTTGTAGGGCATCCATCAAGGGAACCGTCCGAACTTATATTGCATAATTTGTCAACCATTACCTCACTGAGTTTTTGTTGTAGAATTTTTTATTTTTTTTACATCTCTTGGATACTTTATCACTAAATGGAATGAGTTTCAAAGTTTGTTTTTTTACTTAAAATTTGTTAATGTCTTTTGTTAGTTTGATAGAGTTTAACCATCAAATTTGCCGGAACTAAAAGGGGTTAGCTTTTTCCACCAGTATAGACCCTTGTCAGCCAGCATAATCACTCTGACCAGGCTCTATATTTTTGTATTTTGTGAATGAAATCCTGTAAAATACAAATGGACTGCTCCAAATTGAAAACAGGGAAATTCCATTACACAAATTTAGCAGGTTATGGGTTAATATCAAAATTCTGAAGTAAAGCAAACAGAAGTTAAGAATCTGGTAAGACTGTATGCTCGCCTATATGGTTCAATCCTGTTGTTGAGGATATATATAAACCAAACACACATGCAAGGGTGGAGGATATACTGTCTCTTTGCTGTTGTCATCATATCAAAGACCCAGAGAATAAATCCCTTCTGAGTTTGTGTAACAGAATTGCCTAGCTATTTCAGTTGGAACAGTTTGTTTTATTTTAAAGGCACATTCTGTCTCAGAAATCCACCTTTTTCAATTCTCTTGAAATATTATGCATGTGTTTAATAATGTTTTAATGATGGATTTAGAGCACATTAGATGTCCAACAACTGAAGAAAATAGTGTTGAACATGACATGATGTGTCATAAAGGTAGTATAATGTAAACAAAATAATATTTTTGACATGCATACAAAATACTAATGCACTATAATTATGCCAATTGCCAACATAGCCAAAGAACAAAAAATAATTCCAACTAAGTGGCAAATGAGTAAATTTTTGGAAGATACCAAAAATAAATAAGTTTCTGAGTAATAAAAATGATTGCATTTCTGAGACATAATGGGCCTTTAAGGGATTTCAATTATAAAATACAAAACAAAAGTTGAGCAACCAATTATAATAATAGAGCATGATCAGGTTGCACAAATATATGCAGGCTTGCCTAGCCTGGGTGCCAGTCTGTGGATTTTTTATGTGCTTCTGTTCTGCAAATCGTGATATTATGAAAACACAAACAAGTATGAAATGGCGCGTATGTTATAAATAAGCAAAAAATATCAACGCTTGAACCCCAGGCTAAGTCTTGCCTGGCCCTCTACTGGTGACAGTGGCTTATCATTTTTTAATCCAGCAGGTAAAGGGTTTAGAAATACTTCGAAACTCATTTTATATTTATTATTATTGTTTTTAATATGATAGATGGGCCACAGTTTTGAATGGACCATATGATTATGTTGACCAAAGTAGTGAGAAACAACACTTGTGTCTGTTCAGCTTACTATGAACAAATATATTTTTACCTTCTTTTTTTTTCAATTAACATTGCTTTTAATAACTTTAAGTTTTTCTCATTATTGTGTCACCTGCTATAGAGTAGGGGTGACATATAGAGATGACTTCTCCATTGTCTATACATTCACACTACCTTATAAGGATAGGGGCTATCTAAATGTAAACAGAACAAAAAGAGAACAACGAAGTTCATACTGTTACAATAGAGGAAGGGACCAATGACTTGAGATTGTTGTTGGACCACCTTAGGTTCAAGGTCAAGTCCACAGGTTCAATTTAGATCTGCCTAATTTTTACTACATACATGTATTTATTTTATCTCATTTTTTCTATCTCTCTTAAAAAGTTAAGGTTGCAGGTGGGAGGTATGAATACATGTAGCTTAGTTTTACAAATTAGGGCATGAATTAATCAATACAAGCTTCTCTGATCACAATTTTATTGCCATTTAAATATTTTGTTTTCTGGCATATTAGACAAGATTAACTATTGTTAACAGCAGTGCTAGAAAAACCTGTCTTAAACCACTCCGTGTAAGACATCTCACATGCTTTAAATGACATCATTCCTACATATCTTTTATGAACAAATTGCGTTCTTAAGATGACATCATTTTGTCATTATGAATGAAGTTGTAAATTCATGTAATACTTGGGGCGTCTGTGGACAAGTGGTTAAGGTCGTTGACTTCAAACCACTTGCTCCTCACTGCTGTTCGAATCCCGACAGGGACTTTGGATTCTTTTATGTGAGGAAGCTATCCAGCTAGCATACGGAACGTTGGTGGTTCTACTCGGGTTCCCGTTCAAGCCTGAAATAATGTACGGAAGGGCACTTGAGGTCTTTCTCCACCAGTAAAGCTGGAATGTTGCCATATGACGTATAATGGGTCAGTGTGACGTAAAATCCGATTAAACAAACAAATCATGTGCTACTATGACAAAAAAGTGCTAAATAAAAATTTTAGTTTGCGTTATTTCTTTCCCAAATATGATTTATAAGTTATATGCAAGAAAAAAGAAATAAACATTGGCTATCATCACAGACGGATATATCTCGGCAGAGCCATGTTACCCTCTGGTCTGTACCTGCAACTGGTGTACAAGTCTTATACTATACTTGTATAATTACCTTGGTATGTGGAGGTAAAGTACTTGGTGAGTCATATGGTTTCAGTTTATGATTTTGTTGAAAACAATAGTTATTCACGTCTAATGCAACTAATCTTCAATTGTCAAGGTTTTTCTTCATCTATGTGCTTTCTTGGTTATTATTTTTGTTCCATTTTGAATAGAGCTATTTGTAAACTTTACTTTTTATATTTGATTTTTTGATATTAATATTTGGATATTGAATAAGTTCTAGTTCTCAGGTATTAGTTATATAAATTTGCTTAAACCTCCTTAAATTTTGAAAATATTACATGAATTTGTATTTTGTTTCATTGATTTTGCCAGTGTGTACTTTGCATAAAATTGTGCATAAATTTGTTGGTTTGACCTGCCATCTTTCTATCACACCTTTTATTGTTTCTCAAACTCTCTTTTCACTTAATGGACTTGTCCATCTTTTAATCTGGACGAAACCATTCATTAATTTTAGGAAAAAACCGAGCTCAGTGATTCTAAAATAAATTTTTCTTCTTCTCTCCATTTTGCTTTAAGATATACTTTGCTCACTCTTGAGACACAGAAATTTATTGAACTCAATGAAATTCTTACTGAATACAGTCTAACTTGCCCATGCGACCACGTGTATTAAGCGACTTTTGTCTTAAACGACCACTTTAAATTCCCCCCGATCATTTTCTCTCTATGTTTTTAATGTATTAAGCGACTTTTGCTCAACGCGACCAGCGACCGCTAATTAGTCACCTAATTGAGAGCAACCTTTTCATTAAACGACCACTTTTACCTGTCAAGTAATTGTGATTTTAGACAACGCCGCCTCGTAATGTCATATGTGTCAACAATCAAAACACAACAAATAAATGTGTGAAAATCTCTATTTCCCAAACCGTTTTAGCGTAAGCAGTATACGCGTGACGTGTATTATCCAATAATATCGATTAAACAATGCAACGCTCCGCCCCTACTGATGTGGTGTATACGCTTCGCTTGTTGACAATTAGACTGCATTGAATTGACCTTGAACTTGATCAGCAATTAAATTAGATGTATTTTGTTTATTTCGAATGAAAAATGCACGACAGAAAAAACATCCTCACTAATAGGGTTTTCGTGTTGGAGACAAGGAAAAGCAACGGAGAAGTTAAAAAAATCTGGAAAAAATGTCAAACATGTACGTAATGGATCAAAACTGTTTTGTAAATAAATAACAGAAAGTTATTTTTTACAGATTATCGAGCGTACTAATTATTCAACATTTATATAAAAATGAAGTTGTTAAACATTCCCACCGCATAAGAAAGATGTCATTTGTAAATTTTGACTTTTATATCATGCTTTGTCTTAAGAGACCGTTTCATTAAGCGACCATTTTGGGTGTTTCCCTTGCGCGGTCGCTTAATACAAGTTTGACTGTATGTCTAATGTGAATAAAACAAGGAATAACTATGTATGGGAAGCTGTGTTCCCTATTACAGGACAAGAAAAGTTGATGTTTTCTTTAAAAAAAGGCAGTTTTTTTTTTATTTTAAACATATCATATCTACTTTGTGCGAAGTCAAAACATGTTTATTCTATATTTATGAAGAAATTGTGTAGCAACTATCAATATTGTTTCTAATTTTAAATTTGGGCATAGTATGTCTTTAAATTTATAGACCAATAGTTAAAATAGCTAAAGTATTTAATGTATAGTTAACCTTCCTCAGATTTCTTCCATTTTGTAGTTTTGGAAGTAGATGGGATCAGGTCATTGATGTTGAAAACTGATTTTTTTCTCTCCCTCTCCCAATAGTATGGCAATGTATTAGCTGTGACAATACAGTGGTGGGAAGAATGCACCCATGTCATAGATATTCTTGTTTCATTATAATAGATGATATTTATTTAATTGAATTCTTATGTTTAATGCATCAGTGTTCTAAGGACACATTTCTGTTTTGTATAAATAAATGCCAAATTCCTGTATACCCGTAAATGTTTTTGTTGTTTTTTTTCTCTCCCATTTTAACTGTTATTGTTGCCTTATATATCAGCATTGTTGTTAAATATTTGCATTGTTATATACTCGTATATTGGCATTGGCGTTTTATATATTGGGAGCAAGTTACTATTATTGGCATATTTTCAGTTGTTGTTAATTTGTAATTTTAGATACTATGTGCAATATAAACTGTATTATGCTTTGTCTGTTGTTAAAATATTTTCATTCTGTCTCTTTTTTGTGTGGCTATATTATACATGTATCTTGTTATATCCATAACCTGCTGAATTTTTGTAATGGACTTGCCCTCCTTTGAATTTGGAACAGTCCATTCAAAGTTTAAGGGATTTTGATATTGAAAGAAATTATTTATTAATGAAATATTTATTTTCATACCACTTTATGAAAATAGATATTTCTTCAAAATACTTGAGTGGCTGTAGCCATGAGTGAAATAATTTTCGTACCACAAAATGAAAATAAATCTTGTGTTTGTAGAAAAAAAAACTTGAATTTTCTGTTAGTTTTATACATTTTTATCGTTTTTGACATTACAATTTGAAAGATTTCCCCTAAATCTTTGTGTAATGGCTAAATTTAGAAGAAAGTAGTCGAGCAAGACACCAGTGAAAATATGGAAAATGTTTTTTACTGCAGTGAAAATTGATTTTTTTTACAAAAGTCGCAAAATCGGCACGGGTGTGTGATAAAAACCCATATTATAGTCTACCAGGATGTGCAGGCTGGTTTTGATATATATAGGTGGCATTCAGTTCAATCAGGAGTAGGGTCACATTTATGATGAAACTTTTATTTCAAGAGGATTTTCATTTTTAGTTTACTCTCTCTCTATATATATATTTTACCTGACGATTCAAAACACTTCCTCTTTAATTTTTAAAATATGCCAAATAAATGCAATTGTTTTTGTTTTTTTAAGGATGCCAAAAGGTGTTGATAAACCAATCCTTTATAATGTTGATCAAACTAATATTTTATAGTGTTGATAAATCAGTGCTTTTAAATGTTGATAAGCCAATACTTTATAGTGTAGATAAATCAATGTTTTAAAGAGTTGTTTAACTGATGATTTCAAATCTTGATAAACCGGTGCATTATAAAGTTTTGATAAAGTGATACTTTATAGTTTTGATAAACCAGTGCTATAAAGTGTTCATAAAACCATTGCTTTATACTGTTGATAAACAGCTGCTTTAAGGTGTTGATAAACAGATAATATTAGATGTTGATAAACAGATGATATTAGATGTTGATAAACAGATAATATTAGATGTTGATAAACAGATAATTTTAGATGTTGATTAACAGATGATATTAGATGTTGATAAAAAGATGATATTAGATGTTGATAAACAGATGATATTAAATGTTGATAAACCAATGCTTTAAAGTGCTGATAAATGTGTTGATAAACTGATGTATTGAAAAGAAAGTTTGCAACATTGTAGGATTCTGTTTTAATGTGAATGTTCTTGTTTTTGTATAAAACACAAAATAAACACTTTCAGATTTTGGAGTGATATTATATGTCATGTAATTTATGATTGTAGTGCTTTACTGTCATTAAGAATTTTTTTTAATAAAAAGTGTATCTTGCCAAAATTTTAACTGGGTGTGGTATCTAGAACAGTGTTCATTTCCATTGCTGCAAGGCCAAGGTTGCAATTTTAAATAAAAGGTTGATCACTCAAATTGACAAATAACTGTCACTTTTAGGAAGATAAACAAAAGTGATTAGAATGTTTCACATGATGATGACATGTTTTGTCAGGTTAAAGAGTCATATAGTTCAAGGGTCAAGACTATGTCACACTTAGAGGTCAAGGGGAGGGGGAATAGATTCATATATATTAAAGGTCAAGGTCAATTTTGGAGGTCAAATAAGAGCAAATAATAGACATTCACAGTTACACATTGGACTGTCAAAGACCCTTTAGCTTGCCGAACTGGTTACTCATCACTGTGGTGAAAAGATGAATTTCAGTTGACCTAGTAACATGTTTGACCCAGCCAAGAATCATGCCCTTGTAAAGGGGTGAGGGTCATTCACATATTCAGAAGTATGATAATTTTCTGTTTTGACTTTATGTATTATGCCTTTATTATAGTTGTGATAAAAGTAGCTACTGCTGTATATTGCTAAATCTATAAATTATTAGAAATAAAATATTAATATAAATAAGTTGTTGCTTGTTTTAATGAAATGGTATTTTTGTCTTTGTGAGCATTAAAGGCAATTCACCTTCTGAAATGAGTATATTGGTTTCTTTATACTATTTAGAGTCGTAACAACTTCAGTTACTCTATTGCAATTACAAAACGGCAGTCCAAAACGTGTCTTCAAATAAAGGAAATTTTAAAACTGACATAGCAAGATGGGTGTATACATGATTTGCACCCAGGGCTCCAAGTTTGCAACACTGAATCTAAATATTCTAATTCAGATAAAAAATATTACTTCTGTACCACTACGCGATGCCGCCTGCAGTAACAACATGAGTTAAACTGAGCAGATCACCGAAACGAATCGTATTAAAGCCACTGGCCCCCAGATGGTAAAATAAAACATAAATAAATAAAGTTAATTGTAAATACTGGTCTAGTAACGTTTAATGGGAAAATCCATTATTACTGAATATAATGCAAGAAAGAAAGCTACCGGTATACATTTTTATGTCCCAGACTAAAATAATCACATGATACAGTAAAATACATTGTGAATTCAATAAACTTATATTTTTCTAGCGGTGCGACTGACCAGCGTTCCATAATTGATACAAGCGTTTTCTAAGCTGTATAGTGCGTACCGCAAAATCACCGACTGGACCAATGTGTCTGCTAGCTGCATGTATTTGAGCGATCCGGGGATTCTTTGTTGTCTCTCGTTTAACGTACAATGGAAAATACAATGTATCATTAAAGTAAAAATACAGTCGGGTAAAAAAGGGGAAACAATCAAACATAAAAAATCTCAAAATAGGATAACTTTAGTGCAAAGTAGGGTCGAGTTGCCTGGAACACATGATTTTTTTAACCTAAATACATGTGTACAAAAAGAAAAAAAAAATCAATTTATCGAAGTTAAGGATAATCTGATATTAATCTGTTGTGGCGGGCTCATGAAAGTTTTGTGAAAAATATTCAGGTTTTAAAGAGAAATGAGCATTATTTAAAAGCGGATTTTGACTATGTTGGATGCCAGATATATTAGAGAACTACAGGTTCGTCAAACTACAAAATATAGTACAAGTATATCAGCAAACTTTATTGCAAATGTATGTTTGAATATGTATATACCACTATATATTATATATAATTTACATTAAAAAATCTCTTTTTAAAATTTTCATGGTGGACAAAGCATAGTGCAAGACCGATGATACAAGTTCAAAGATTATCCACTGTATAAAAAGATTAACCATTTAAAATGCCGACAGGGTAATTCAAAAACTACAAAAAAACTTACAAGAAAGATTTCATTTTACATGTTTTATGTAGTAGAAATTATGTTTCCGACATACATTGTATATTTTCACCATTTTCATGTTTTTCTTTAGTTTAAAAATGCATTGGTATAACATAACAAATAATATAAAAATAACTACATTTCCGGTAATAAATCGTTTCTCTACTCTCAAACAAATTTTATTAAAGAATTGTTTGTCAGGCGTATATTGAAAAAGCAAGGCTAAACCTGGGCAATAGAATGCCAGCTACTGTCACAGACTCAACTAAACAACAGTTCAAGCTGCTACTTATCTTTTCTTCCTAGCTACTGTAAATTACGTGTAAACCATAGGACAAATTCTGTGTGATATTAGAAAAGATGTGGTGCAAGTTAGAGTATGCTCAGTATACATGTAGAATGAACATGTATCGAACCTTGATAGCTTATGATATAAGTAATACAAAATGTAATAATAATAATAATAATAATAATAATGATAAACTCTTTATTTAACGAAGGTTACATATTAAGACAATACATCAAAGCATTAGATACATCGATATCACATATAATTCAAAATCTTATTTTCAACAAGGCCTTCAATAAACATAAAAGTAACAATGGACATATATTATAAGCACTTATAAAGATTACAACATTCAGAAAATCAGCAAAGAAGACTTACGTAACATTATATTATAGTATAGGTAACTTTTCTATAATTCATCTTTAGATAATAAAAATTCAAATGTGATTTAAACAATTTAAGATTTGAAAAAATTCTTATTTTTTTAAGGAATAGTGTTCCAAAACTCCATACTAGAATAATAAAAAGTGCGTTTCAAATAATTTGTTTTAGGTCGTTCATGCGTAATGTCTTTTTTATATGTTGATCATAGTAAGTAGATAACAGAATTAGATTAGAAATGTATGCCGGTGTTAATTTATTCATCGCTTTAAAAAAGTATTTACATCTAGATGGGAAAGATAACCATTTCATATTTTGAAACATTTCAAGAGAAATTCAAGTCTACCCATTCTATAAAATTCACAACCTAAGCCTTAATGCCCTACAGAAACAAAGGGTATTATCATTAATCTTGAACATTTTCTGTGCATGACTGCTTTTAAATTATCTGCACATGTTTGGCAGTGACTTTTGTGTCTGGAAATCGAAAGTTTTTACAAATAAAAGGGTAGAAAGGGTGACGACAACGACGTCCCAATTATTTATTCGTAAGATAAGTTGTTTATGTATCCAAAATGGTGGGCAGTGACTCAATTTCCGTGCTGGATGTACATAAAAACTAGTTTTAACTGCTAACTTAATTATTGATTTGCTGAAACCTGTGTATTTTATTGTAGTATTGATATTTTTCAATACTTAAAGAGCATTTGCAATGCTCACTGAAAGAGAGCAAAGTTATTACGGGGAGCTTTTCCAAACCTGTGATGTCGACGGGACTGGGAAATTTTCAGGAGGACAAGTTGCCGAGTTGTTTCGAGCTTCAGGATTGACGCAGGAAGTTCTCAGTCAGGTAATTAATTTGCTAAACACGTAAATCTATGCATTGACACATTATATTTCAATTTTCATAGCAAACCGCATTGTTATACGTGAGAGAATCCGTTGCCCTAATTTGAAGTGTACTAGAATTCGGATAGATGTCTAGTGCTAAAAAATTGTTATACCATATCTAGGTAGCTTAATGTCATGTTTTATTTGACTTGATGTCTGTCATCAAATTGCTTAACTTTAACTCAACATATTTTTAGTTGACTGTTCTATTATGAAATTAAAAGTGTTATTCAGAAATGAAAAATAATTATCATTATTTTAGCCCTTGTTATAGTTCTGGCTTCCAAAACTTTATAAGCCGCTTTTTAACATTTTTGTTTTTCATCAGATGCGGCATTAAAGTTTTGGATTAGACCTGTTACGAAACCTAACCAGAATAACATAAGTTGATTTATTCTTGTTTTTCACTTGCAAATACACTTGACCCGATCAATTCTTGTGCATTTTACGGTAAAACAATTATTTAAATATCGTTCTATACCAATTCAAGTAATAAAATATTAATACCGTCATTAAAATTGCCTATTTAACTGTAAAACATCAATTTTTGCCGACTACAATCGGCCATGACATTCAAGTGTCACGCGAGACTTCGTATGATGTCATTCGCGGGAACAGATTTGAATAGAGTTGTGTACTATATTTAGAACATTTTGTTGACATGATTTCGATATTTTTATTCAAGATAATGTTTTTATTTATTTTCATATTTTTTTTAGTATTTAAATATGATTTTATTGAATATGACAGTCAGTAAATAACCTTTTTCAACATCTTAAAAAAAAATAATCTATAAAAATATTGGAGGCACATGGGTTCCTAAAGGTCAATCTCGTAATCACGTGGTCAAACATTTTGGCAAGATGGCGGCCAAGTGCCGAAATTTTTACCTGTCGGAAACTATTAGGTAGTTTATGTTCCTAATAAGATTTTTATTTGTCCATCCTTGGCTTATCAACAGATTATATATTGTTTTATCAAGGTATGCTTCACTTTACTCCGTGGCATGTTCGATAAATAAATGCGAGCGTGTCAGATTCCTGGCACGATTATTGGTGGACTTTCCCTACGGGGTTATCTTCAGCGTTCACGTCATGTCATATATATAAACGGGTACGCTGAAGACCTTAAGCTACCCTTGTTATTATTATTGAATTTCATTTTCATGCAACAATACACCCATAAACACTCTTGATATGAACACCGTGAATAACCCAGGTATATCGAGTGAAAAAAAAAAAGAGGTGTTTCCCTTGTCTTCAAGTAAAGTCAATATCACTTATGCTAAAACAGTACTAATTAAACCGCTAGTTTGTTGTGTTTTAATGAATGTCTTATTTTAAAATTGATTACACCAATGGAAAGCTTTGGATCTTGGCTTCATCACAGATTATACTTCATCACCAAAGTTTTTAAATTAGCTGTTAAACCTACCATATGTCGTACCATTTTACATATGATTTATACAATGAGATACGCAACCTGTTAACTTTATTATACACTGATACACAAGAACTTGAAAGTTATTTAATGTTCCTTTTCATCTAGCAGATGATGTGATTCCTTTTTACACTTTTTAATATTAATCTATGTTATTCTGATACTTATTTCAGATAACTGAATTGTGTGGTGCAAAAAGACTGGGTCATTTTGGCAGGAGTCAGTTTTATATTGCACTGAAGCTTATAGCAGCCGTGCAGTGTGGTCTTCCAGTGGCAACTGAAAGCATCAGCTCAGGTAGGTTTTCTGTATTTGCATTATAGTACATGGTATGAAAAACTTTTCATTGAGTGGATGACATACATTTATTACCTATACTGAACAATTTTTGTTTGTTTTTTTTTTTTTTTTTTTTAACAATCTTAACATTTCTGTTCTGATGACATCTATTGCTACAGAGAGAGGGTACTATAGATGGACATGGTACCATTATTTAAGGTTTGACTTAGACTGGTTACAAGAAAACTTAACTTGAAAACTGAGATGTGCTTCTGTCTGCATTTTGAAGAGAAACTTATTGGACATAGATATCTTGGAAAGGAATTCAACTACTTGTGTCTGGATAAATACATATGAACACTAATAGGAGGAGTATCTGTCCATATAATGTTGTTGTAAGCAAATTATCAATTATACCCAACAAAATAAATCAGAATAATGTTCCTTACATTTCAGGAGTCGATATTCCACTTCCAAAGTTCCACAAAATTACACCAAATGAGCAAGGTAAGTAGTTTCAAAATTACCCTTTATTCTGTTGGATTATGTTTTTTGTGCCCTTAGAATTTGGAACTGCCTATAGTGACTTAGAGGGATTTTAGGTAATCAAAATTGAGATGCCAACCATGTAGAGCCTGGTCCGACTGTGGATGGATAACAATAAAGAAAAAGTTTAGTTATTGTCATTGCTAGAGCTCCAAAATTCTAAACTAAACTTGCTTTTTTACTTCAAAATTAGCAATTTTAACAATGATTTTTCCCAAAATCAGTAGGCTAAGGCTTCTTTCCAATTAAGTGAGAAAAACCACTGACAGTATTGTGAGAAAAATGCTTCAGCACCTCCTCTTTTAAGAAACTAAGCCAAAATTTATCCCAGCTTCACTCTTCAAGTTGAGGGTTCATTCTTTTTCCCATTAGCGATTTTAATAATTTGAATAAATTTTATTGATTTAGCAGCAGGATATCATTCAAATGATAACCCATACCCTGTTTTGAAAAAAAAATTGTACTTAATGAAAAAATAAAAAAATCATTTGAAAGAAATTTTCAACAAGGGTGCAACCTGATGTTCTTTGGTTTACTTTAATGTTTGTTCTTTTATTTTTCAGGCATACCACATCAACAGTCCCTGAATATAGCTGATCCCTCAGCAACTGGAGAGAGGTTTGTTATTTCATTTCTATTTTTAGCGCATTCCCTCAGCATTGCTAAATTTCAAGTTCTTTGTGTCGCTTATTACTTGTATATCTGTTGCAGGGTTTTCCATAGGAATTTGTGACTAAATTTCAGCAACTTGAATCAATCATGAATTGTTCATACTTTCCAGATGTAGGCTTCTATTTCAAAGAAAGTCGTCTTCAAGATAAATTGTAGAGCTTGTAAAAGAAAAAGTGCCTAAATACTTCAGAATATAATAGTACTGCTATATAATGGCAGACCAGGACTAAAACTTGCATCAAGGATGAAGAAAAACCTATTGGACGACCCTGCATGATGTTGTTATTAATTACCTTCTAGTTCCAATAAACAAACAAAAAAGTCTTATAGGGGAGTGATCCGACTAGCTTATAAATTGTTTTTTTCCTTATGACAGGTTATGCTAGAATTACAGAAATGTTAACAAAATACACCTTTAACCTTGTCTTATGCCATTATGTAAAATATGTAATCACCATGCCTGAAAAGTTGAGAACGAAACAGCATAAATGAATTTCAGACATGTGGAGTAAAACTGATTATAAACACTCTTATTGTATTTATGCATATATTATTTATAAATATGTACATTATAGGGTATCAACACAAGGTCAGTTACCTCCCCCTCCTACATCAGCAAAGAAATCCCACGGCCGTAATTTGTCTGGTCAGTTCCGGGGCTTGCACCCAGAGCAGGTTCCACTACAGATGCCACAACCAGCTCCTGCACAGGTATGGTATATATAAAGAAATGAAAGAAGGTTTGAACTTATGTTATGATTTTAAACAACAAATGTACATGTTAATTTTAATATACGCTCTTTACATTGGTCTTATGATTAAACTGCAAGGAGCTCTTCCCTGTAATTAAAATGTGCTTTTCTGTGTTTAAAATTTGCTTTTCTGTGATTAAGAGACTTGGTATACTTTGTATTATCTAGATGTATCAGAAGAAAATGTTCAGGATCATTCTTCTAAAACTTGATTATTGAACTTTATTTGAATAATTCTAAGTTTTTATAATCAATTAAGTAACAAAATGTTTTACAAGGTATATCAATAGTAATAAATACAAAATAAACAACCCCGTATTTTACAGGTTCCTGTCAAAGATGGACTTACAGAAACAAAGTCACCAACAATTGTTCAAGGTCCACCTTTATCAGCTCCTCCTCAGATTGCACAAGGTCCGCCTCCATTAGCATCTGCTCCACCCCAAATACCAACAGTTCCACAGTCTCCTCCCACTTCTCCACAAACTGCTCCCATTGGTCAAAACATCCCCACCTCCTCGGCACCAATAGTCAATAATTTCCAAGTTCAACAACACGCTAGTAATACACAAACAGTGAATCAGTCTACAAATGTTGCCAGTTCAAAGAAAACAGTTTCTCAAAAAGGGACCGAGGAGTGGGCACGGTTTGAGAGTGATGATGAAAAACATGGTAAGTCATTATCTTTATTCAATTTGTAACCTTGTAACAGGTCAAGAAATTTTTTTTAGCTCTTACAAATTTATATATATTCTGTTTTCGTTTCTCCAAAAGGTTAGTGTGTTTTATATCACATGATTATTAGTTATTCAACACACTAAGCCACCAATGCAATGTTGATGTCACTAATTTAGTGCAAGTATGTGTTATCATACAAACATTTTTTGAATTAAGGCAATTAAGATAAATGTGTTCTTGGTTATCTTATCAATCAGGTTTGCTAGGTCAAGGAAAGAAGGAAGGTTGGGACAACATGAAACTACCTGACTTTGAGACATCATCATATAGCTCGGACACAGAGAGTGTTGAGGATGTGTGGAGTATAAACGATGAACAGAGAGAGTATTACATTAAACAATTCCAGAATATTGAACCAGATGTCAATGGCCATATTTCCGGTCAGTATTTAATTTTAAGGGGGTCAAGATTACTCTCTTGCCAGTTACCTTGTATAAATGAAATTGATAAGCCATGGGACCAATATATAGCACATTCGGGTAGTCTGACAAGGCTCTATACTAATTTTGAGCTTAATTTTAGTATTTTGATATTGAAATCCCTTAAATTTTGAATGGACTGTTCCAGATTCAAAGCAGGGCAAATCCATTACACAAATTTAGCAGGTTAAGGGTTAATGGTTCACATTTTCCATTTCAAGGGGTCATTGAAAACAAACCTACATTTTGTGTTCTATATAAAGAGCTCAAAAATTTAGGTTTTTGTCCCTGAGGTCAAATTTTGCCCTGCCAGCTTGGTCAATTATGTTCCTTTTATTGTATATTCTGATTACAGCGTAGATAAAGATTTATTGTCAATAAGTGATTGTTGTTTTAAAGCTACAATGACATAACATTTTGATGGTTTGATATTCTTTTACCCGAATACTACTTGCATATCATTGAAATAATGAAAATGTAACTACATGTATATATTTTTAAACCAATTCATATGAGATATTACAGCTGGGAAGACCCTAATAATACAATGTACAGTCTTTGTATATATTCCATGTTTTGTCATTTTTCAGGTGCTGTAGCAAAAGATTTTTTTGAAAAATCCAAGTTACCAAACCAAGAATTATCCAAAATATGGTGAGACACTATTTTATATCAAATATTGATAATGAAGAAATAAAACATTTATTTCTATATGTTAAGTTTTATTTTCAGTGATTATTTTTATGCTCCCACAGGGGTAATAGATTTATATTTGTCTGTCCATAATGCTGTGAAATGTGGGGGTGTCCATGTTCTTTGGACTTATGTCTAGTTTTAACATAACATAGAATGTCAAATTGAGGCCTTCTTCATTTGTGTGAGTTATCAAATAATAAAATATGGAAAGTCAAAGGTCCCGTTCATGACTATAATAATGCATGGAGGGTCACCAGACACTTTCCTCCACCAGTAAGAGTTGGGAAGTCAGCACGTGACCTTTATAGTGTTGATATGACTTAAAACCCAACAACAACAAAAGTGTAACTTTAAGTAAAATAGCTATATTAGCTGCTTTTATTGAAATTTTTGAACTGAGTTAATTAGAGAAAGGTTCAGTTTCAGAGAAATGCATTTTGAAATGTACTTTAACTTGTATTTAAACCTTGCTTATTCCTTAACTTGTCGAAACGCAAAATGATTAGCTTTTGCCACCAGTATAGAGCCAGTCTAGTCTGCACCAGATCTAGAGGCTAGCCTGACTGTATACAGGTGGCCAGCGGCATGTCATTATATCGACTGTGTCAGTCAGAGAGTTAAGATTGTTTTATTATTATCTTGCAGGAATTTATCAGATCTGAACAAAGATGGTGCACTCTCGCTAGAGGAGTTTTGTATAGCAATGCATCTTGTGGTGCTGAGACGAAATGAAATAGAAATCCCAGACAGGCTACCCTTTTCTCTTATGCCATATAATGCTTTCACTAATGGTAAGGAACAGTTTACATACATGCCCAGTTGAGACCATTTGGTCAGGTTTAAATTCTTCATTCTTGAAAAAATCAAAAGCTTCATAAAATATAGAATACATCAGTTTGTAAGATCGCATATCAGCATTTCTTTCAACATTCTCATTAAAGCAATAATGAGAACTATTTTTTGTCAGAGCAAGAAGTTTTTGTAACAATTCTTCATCTTTTTTCCCTTTGGTTTTTAGCTTGATTGTGCAAGATCATTTCATATGTAAATGTGTATTAAATACTTTATTTGAAATGAACGATGTTACAGAAGACGCAGAGCCATTTGCTGCTGACCTGCCCGAGGGCAGCACGTTAAAGCGACAGAGTCCCATATCCCCGCCCGAGGCTCACCAGTGGGATCAAATGATGATTCAAGGATCACCGCAGATCTCGAGTAGCGAGGTATCGTCACCTAGTCAAACACCAGCTAACTTTGACTTCCAGAAACCAGAGTCTTCAGATGCTGTAAGTTTATGTTGTAGTAGGTCTGAATAAAATAAATCATTATAAAAAAATGTCTATTCTTAGAGTTAACAGGTAGAGTAAACTGTTAGTCTTTGTTAAGAAGAAATATATTTATTTCACAAATAAATACATATAAACAAAAAAGAAATGTTTGATTCCTTATATGGATCTAGAATATATCTGAAGATAGTTCTGGAAAATCAGGTTAATAAATACTGTTCTTATAGGTTTATTTTGCACATATATTATAATACAAATTAAATCATATATTTAATTAAAATAGAAGACATAGTCTTGTAAAGTTATTCTCCTTATTTGCTTGAAAGAAAGTTGTTATTCTCATGATAAGGTTTGCATTGCAGGTACAATAGGGAAAGTATAAACATTTGTGTATTGAAGTTCTCTGGTGCAGATGTTTCAAGTGTTAATGTTTAACTCAGTTATCTCCCTTGGCTTAGTAAATCCTTACTCTGCTAAAATTTGTAAATGGACTTGCCCATCTGATCACAGTTCGCTGTACGATCAAGCTCATATTTTGAAATTTTACCTAATGATTATAATGGTTTTGTCCAGATTGGTCCTGATGAAGATCATTGTTAAATGTATGATCAAAACTGATAAATAATTATAACCGATTAGTTGCTGAAGTTTGTTTCTCTGAGCGCTTCTCTGCCTTTTGTTTTGAATCCATTTAAGGTATATAGCATGGCAAAGGTTAAGATAACACAAAAGGAACTTTTTTAAAATGAATGTGAAATAAGAGTCATTAATTAAATGTAATATGAAACTGCAGTGAAGTCAGGGTAATGTTGTATCAATGTGTTATCTTGAGTTCTGATGAACAAAGTTTTCCCTTCATGATTTTTCTTGTTACAGGAAGCAAATATTGTGAGACCTAAGGCTCAGAGATTATCACCGGACATGTTGGAAGATATGCCGGAAGTTGTGAGACCAGAAAGGGGTAGGGCATTTTCAGGTAGACTACTAACCTGGGTGACGGAGCTTGAGCCCAGCTTTTCTAACTTGTTCTTAATAAGACCGGGCACCATATTCATCAATGATAAAAGTCTGTGAATTATTCTTCAGATACATGTATATAAAACCCACTTTCTGACCATTTCTTAATAAAACAGAAAGTCATATTTTCACCAAGGATTAAAATTTTGATACAGTCAACTATTGTTATCTCGACATCGCTTTTCTCGATATTTCGTTATCGCGATGAAATTTTGAAAGTCCCGATTTTCTTCCTTCTTTATCTATATTTGAAACATTTGTTTATCTCGATATTTTTATTTCGATATTTCAGTATCTCGATGTAAAATTTCTGCCCCAACAGTTATTTTCACACTATTATCCTTTGTTTATCTCGACTAATAATTTTCTTTCGTCTGTTCCTTCAGACGTGTGAAAAACACAAACTAGACAATAATTGCTCAATAGCCCGTGTCATAATGGTGATTATGTTTGTAACAAGTTAAGCTGTTTTAACAAAAAATAATCTATTTAGCGTGTTGATTGACATGTCTAAAATGAGTGAATTTTACGTTCTTTATAATTATTCGAATACTGCATCAATTGATTATGACTTTAAATGTAAATGAAAGAGTGAAAGTATAGAAACGCTATCGTTGCAATATTGTTTCACAACATCACCACCAAATCAATCAGCGGTCGATCTCGAGAAAGACCCGATAAATAACCCGGGAGGATATCCCGATCAACCACCCTGAAAACAATGTTTTCACTATATTGGTGTATTACTGAGTAAACCTCACTATGTGTTTTTATCACAGACACCCGTATTTCCGCTGGTAAACATCCGCTTATGTTACTTTGTTAAATATTGACTAGGCCTCATAGTTTTATTTGACATAAAGTATGTACATGTCTTTTGTAAAAATCAGTGTCTGCCTTATTCAAACCCTAATATGTTTATCTCGACATTTCGTTATCTCGATATTTTTGGACGGTCCCGATGACTTCGAGATAACCAGAGTCGACTGTATTTGTTCTCCAATTATTTTATATGTATATTACTATAGCACATATTGGTTATTTCTCTTTACTGTTTTAACAGGCATATTCCTATACTGTGTCAAATTATGAGTACAGGCATATATATTTCCTTTCTCAAAAAAAAACCAAAAAACTATATAAGATTTCATTGAAGGTGAAAGGCTTTTAAAAGAATTTGTTAATTTTGAAGTATAAGGATAAGACTTTTATGCATTGATGAATATATGCCAAAGACGAAAGTTGTCATTTTTATATCAAAGAGATTTCCACTGAGAAATTGGAGACAAAAATGTATACAATAGAATGTAGGAAATATTATTCCATGACCATTGCAGAAAAGAGGTTATATACCAGAGTTTACTGGAGTTTAAACTTTTATTGTTTTTATTTAGCATTACATATTCAAAGCATTTATATAGATAAATTGGTCAGAAAGTTTTTATTATTAGATTACTGGAAGCTCTTTGATATAATAGCAACATTCCTCTGACTTAGCCTAACAAAAATTGTTAATAATTATGAACAGAATATTACTGACAAAGAACAATCTCGACACCAAAATATATAAGATATTTTTTTTGTTACTTTTTTATTTACAAGTATTTTTTTAGTATTTTTTTCTCCATAATGAATGGATTGAAATGCTTGGAGAAGTTCAGAAGTTTAATAATTTCTTATAAAAAGTATATTCTGTTCATTAATAATGAATCAAGTTATGTAACAGTTTTATTTTCAGTGTATACCTACATAATATTACAGAATATTCCCATATTTAATGATTGATTTAATATCATTAACATCATATATATTCAAAGTTTACAACATAGAACATATTCCAGTGTACTTTATATTACTCTAGAAATGAAATCTTAATAAAAAATATTTAACTCAATCATTTATTGTTACTAGTAACTAGAATACTTTAATATTAGGAATATTTATTTTAGTCCATTTTAATGAGCACAATATTTCCATATGACTTGAATGCATAGTTTAACCCTGGGAAGTTTCTAAAGATAGAATAGCTGTTTAAGCGTGAATTATGAATGATAATGTAGCTGACCTCCTTGCCCATGCATTGGCATCTTTTTTCGTAAATGTTTTCCATGCATCTTCATGTTCATCAAAATATTTATCTTATTAACTTTATATGTATCTTTGGGACCATAAAGTTTACTGTCCATGTACCATAACTCTGGCATGGATTTTGACAGAATTATTGCACTTTGTGAACTTTGAAAAGTATGTATATGTAACTTCATTTGAAACATTATATCTCATCAGCCACTGAATGTTTTTATTGATATATATAATATTTTGAGATTACATTTGAAATCTTACTTTTTAAGGCCCATAACTCCAGCATGGATGTTTACAGAATTATACCTCTTTGTGAATAAAGATACATGTAACTTGTGGTTTAGGTTCAGTCTTCACAACTTCTAAATGTATCCACATGATACTTTACATGTGTTCTTAAGAATAATTATTGAAAGTCATTATCCAAGAGCCATAACTCTGCCATTGATAGTGAAAGAATTATAGCACTTTGTGAAATTTAAATTAAAAGAAAAATTATAATTATTTCATGGATTTTTAAATATTATCTTCCATTTGCCTACATAATTAGGCATGGAGAATAGTTAAACATAAAGAACTACATATAATTGCAGCTTTTGCTAATTTTTCTGATAGTTAGCCATCAATAATTAGCAATCAACTGTTAATGCTTTTTCCAGTCGCTTAATAAAAGTAATAATAATTCTTCTGAAAGTTTTAAATTTGAAGGCTAAAGTTTTTAACATGGGTATAAAATAATGCAAACCTGCATTCAATTTTAGTGAGTGGTTTGTTGTTCATGGTTTTACTTGGGTACCCATTTGTGTCATAAATATTTGAGGTGGAAAGTCATTTATTACTGATTATTCATCTTTTTGGCTGGTCCCTATTTCTATTTTCAAAAGCATGAAAATAATTTAGAAACATTAGATAATATGAAAATGTGCCAACTGCTAAAACATATTTTTTTTAAATTATTTAAGAATTTCAATTCAATTAACAATTCATTTTATTGGTGGACAAAGTTCTAAAATATAACATATACACTAGTATGCATGAGAATGTGTTGAAATACATTGTGTGTTAGTATTATAAGAAAATCTGCTAAAATGATCTAAAATATTAGAGAATGTTCTGAAATATTAGTGAATGTGCTAAACATTTTAGGAATGTTGTAAATATTAATGAATGTGCTAAAAAGCTGAGAAATGTTCTAAAATATTAGGGAATGTGCTTAAATGTTTGAGAATGTCTGAAAATATTAATGAATGTCCTAAAACGCTGAGAAATGTTCTAAAATATTAGTGAATGTGCTAAAATGTTTGAGAATGTCCTAAAATATTAGTGAATGTGCTAAAATGCTGAGAAATGTTCTAAAATATTAGTGAGTGTGCTAAAATGTTTGAGGAATGTTCTAAGATATTAGAGAATGTGTTAATTATTTAGAGAATGGTCTGAAATACATGTTAAAGAATGTATATAATTCTTAGATCATTTATTTACCAATGATTTTAATTTGAGAATGTTAATTGATAAAGTGAATGTGCATTTGATTTTGAATGACAATGTAATATACATTTATTTACTTGTACATGAATTAAATGCATGTGTTTAATTTTCTTGCCAGGTTTTTGCATTTTATTTTATGTTTTGTATTAATTAAACATGTAGCCATTCTGAGGTTTTAAGATAAGTCTGTTTTGCACCTGAGTGGTTTCAGAGTAACAGTGTTCTTGCATGCATGTTAGATGCTCCTTAACAATGGCTTTGATATACCTAAAATAGAGGCAAATTTTTAAGTTGTTGAAGAAGTGCGAGGGAATAGGTGAATTAAGATTGTCTGCTTATGAATTTACTTTCCAAGAGTATATCTAATCAACATTGTGTTCTTGTATTTGAAATAAAATGAAAAATTGCCTTAACTAACCATTACCAACTGTTCTCCAATCTTTTAAAATCAGCCTCTGATATCATGTACTGTATATTTTTGATTATAAGACGCATTTTTAAGACTCAAATTTCAATTACAGAGTGGGGAGTGCATCTTATAATAGACTACTATAGAAAAAGTGATTGAAAAATTTACAAATTTCAGTCGTTGAATAAATGTATGCAATGCTATTTGAAGCTTTCTGAAAATTGGCCTGACCCACTTTATTGTTATATGAAGCAATAAACTTAGAAGGATTTTATTTTGTAATAAAAGTGGATTTTACTGCTTAAATATAAATGATTAGAAAGAAGTTACTAAGAAATATATAAAGTATCAATACATTGTTAAGTAGAAGCTAATTTTTGTTGTTCTTTTTATTTATTTTCAACTTGAAATTTGGGAAATATTTGAAGCAATACAGGAAAGATTACAAGAATAGTCACTTTTGATGCTCAATTTTCATTTACCCTCCACCTACTGGTAGTAACTTATTCAACCCATGTGACCAGTGCTCACCAAGATCAGACGGCACATCTGTGATATCTGATCATAGTCTACACTGTTCCCTATTAAATCAGTATGTGTTTAAAAAATTTCACTAAAAATGATTTTGTCCAGATTGAAAAATGGACAGGTCCATTTATGATATTTAGGGTGGATAGGGTTAATTCTAAATTTATTCCTAACTTTGATTCAAATAGTTCCCATCTAAGCAAGTTTCTAGTTTTGATTTTGTTATGTTTTGTTGTTTTCATGTTATTTGCATGCTTTTATTGTTGTAATATACACCCTGCTCCACAGAGCCTTTAACCGGTGAAGGAATTGTTCCCGATGGCGAACATGTTCCCGTTACAAAACAACGATCAAACACCACCCATATAGCCGATCACAACCATGTCGATCCATCCGCAGCTTCTCTCCACGGCCGTCCACGACCTTTAGTTAAAAGAAATACAGGTATAGACTGTGTGACAACAAAATTTATATCAAGATATTTTGAAGTTTTTCAATATGAACTATGTTTACATATTAAAGCTTATAAAATTGCTCTAGACTCTAAGATTCCTAGCCCACTTTTAAAATAGATCAGATAGACTGAATACTCTAAAATATAATAAGCTATTTTGAGTCTTTGTAGATTTTGACAAATTAAAAGAAAATTCAAGAATTTTACCCGGCCCGTTTACCCATTAACCTGCTTAATTTATGTAATGAATTTGGAACAGTCCATTCAAAGTTTAAGGGATTTCAATATAAGATATAAAAATAAAGTTACCAGATAGCATGAATGTGCAGGCAGGCCTAGCTCTATAATTGCGGCAGAGGCTAATCTCTAAGCTGTTGATAGCTGAATTTTTATACAATGTATTTTGATATTGAAATCCTTTATCATGTGATGGACTGTTTCAAGTTTAAAGAATTGGCAAGTCCATTTTACAAATGTAGCAGATAAAGGGTTGAATTCAGGTAAAATCAAAGCTCAAGTTCTTAAAACCCTTATCAAACCCAAATTTACCCTTAAAATTTATAGAGTTGGACTGAATTGAATTCTAATATTAACTGACTATAGAATTAAAAGGAATTGACCCAAATGAATAGTTCAGTTCATTTTTAATTATACATTTCAGTTTCAAGCACAAAATAGTGACCACAACTTTTGACTTAAATGTTCAGAAATAAGTACTGAATCAAAATCAGTATGTCCCGGAATGACATTGTTTGCCTTTTTAGCATTGCATGTGCATTGTATTTTTACGTTTCCATAGTAACAGGGTTTAGCAGTGCATTTTGTTGTCTGCATGCTGCATTTTGATGTATAATATTTCTTGGCAGTGCATGAAATCACATTGTTTTTTTGCTGATTAGATATCTTAATAAATATTAATTATATTTTCATTTTTATAACTCGTACAAGAAATGTAGCCGAAGATTTTATTTTTGTGGTTAAGGAATTGGTGAATGTTATCTATAATGAAGAAAAAAAACCTACAACAATGACGGTTTTATTTCATATTTGGTATTTTTAAGTGACCCTTCTAATGTGAGATTTTTGGTAAATGTACTTTTCCTGCTTAGGACTTTTCTTCATAATTATATAGGATATAATATACTGTATTTGAATAATCAAAATGTTTTAATTTTTAACTTTGTCAAATGGGCGTTGTTGCTTTACACTTTTGCCAATGCCTTTCTTTTGTATTCACATGAAATGGTTTGTTTATAAATATTAACAGGAGTAATCAGATGTTGCAGACAAGTTCTGAAAAAAGGTTTGGGCAGGATTTTGGGGGTAGGTGTGGGGGTGGGGCAAGATTAAGGGTGGTTGTTTATCAGCAGGGTTGGAGTTTATTTTCACATCTTATTGGCATATCATTCATGTTGCCTTTTAGTATTTTTCAATAATGTTACTTGCTTTTGATATTAGCTTTTAGAATAGAAGAGTTAAAGAATAGGCTTATAACAAGATTATGGCTAACATGTAGAAAAATTGTTTAGATACAAAGGTCACAATGTCAGTTTTAAAGTTCTGTATAGAAGCCAAATATCATCAATCAGACAAAGTTACCAAAGTTGTCTCAATGGCTTAATGATAAAAGTCAAACCTTTGTTTCATACCATACAGGTTAATGATGATATGGTATCTGTGGCCGAGTGGTTAAATTTGTTGACTGTAAACCACGTGCCCCTCACTGCTGTGGGTTCGAATTCCAACAGGGGCTTTGGATTCTTTCATGTGTGGAAGTTATCAAGCTAGCTTACAAAAAGTCAGTGATTCTACTCAGATGCCCGTTTGTGCCTGAAATAATGCATGGAAGGGCACCTGAGGTCTTCTTTTACCAGTAAAGTTGGAAAGTCGCCATATGACCTATACTGTGTTGGTTTGATATCCCCTCCCCCACCCCCCCCCTTTAAAAAAAAAAAAGAAAGAGAAAAGATTACTGATGTGAATTAAAATCCTTTTAGAAATGTTTTTAGGGGTTTACCCATTCCTGTTCAAAGTGAGTGTTGCAATTAAGTGAAAACATAAAAGTTTGACCTTGAATTGTCGGTGTGCCCATTTTTCTTTATAGGTACATTTACTTGGAAATAGGAATTTACTAAATGTGTTCTAAATGATTTTGATGACCAAATATTTATCCTGACTGACAGAGATTGGCTGGTACCCTGCTTTGTGTGACACTGAATGATTTAATTATTGTTGTAATGCAGTTCCAGGTGCTATGCCGGGTCACATCCTGCCACCGGCACCCATTTCTAGTCAACTTGTGTTAGATCCTGCCCAAGGTGGTGAACCTGGCCAGGAACCTCCTGCCCCACCACCGAGACCTGGTGGACCACACAACCGTAGTATGTCTGTAGATTATAAAGGTAAAATTATTCTGTATTTCTATGTAATCTTACTTATTTTGCATTTGAAAAGTAAAAATTAAAATAATGTAATAATATACCGGCACAATCTTGCCGACTGATCATGGTTGGCACTGTTTGCTATTCAGTCAATGCATATTTTAAAATTTTCCCTGAAATGATGAATTGTTTTTTTTTGTTTTTTGTTTTTTTTTCAAATTGAAAGATGTAAGATATATGCAATATTTAGGAGGGTAAAAGTTAATATGAATGGAGCATACATGTATGTCTCAATCTTAAAACTTAAAAATAGTTCCTGGCAAAGTTTCAAGCTTTAACATGTCTTTTTAAAGCCAATAAATAAACTGTGTATAGTGTGAGTCCTGGCTCAGATAGTGAAATGACAGCACAAGAAGACATAGAGCCAGAACCACTCCATAGATTTTTGCTGTTAAGGCATGGTCAGTACATTAAAAGATCATAATGTCTCAATCTAAAGACTAAAAAAACAAATATTCTTTAGATATTGATGGTGTAAATGTTGATTTTTTTTTTCAAGCACCACCAGCTGTTCCTCCAAGAATAACACCAAAAGAAGTAAGTTTTTTAAATCTATTATATGATTAAATGGAAACTAATAATTACCATTATAATCAAGATATACACATTGTTAAATAGTCAAAAGTCTTTGGTACATCTAAAGCGGTATTACCAATGCTGCTTATCTTTACTATATCTCATGGCAACAAACTACACTTCTTCTGTGTAAATATGACATCATTCTGTAAGTCTATAAACTAAATTTTATTTTTATGTTGTAAATTTTCTCATTTAAGTCCTTTATTTATGGAATGGCTAACATAAAGCAAAATTAGAAAATATCTATTTGACAGTAGCATCTTTAAGCATTTACCTGCTGGAACTGAATTAAAAGCCGTTGCTAGAATAATAAAGGCCAGACTACACTTCAATGCAGTCTGACCAGGCTTTATACTGTTGCTTGACTTTAATATTCATCTTGATGTTCGTAAAATTGATATTGTAAATTTCCAAAATGGAAGCTGGACAAGTCCATCAAAGAAATTGAGCAAGACGAGGTTAAATGTTTAATACACATGTTTTATGATTACTCAGTGAAACATTTTTGATCCTGAGTATTTGCATTGGGAGCATGAGAAAAATTACTGTTCAGTAAAAATTAGAATATTTGCATATATAGATGATGTTTTTATTTTGTTACAGCCTCCTGGAAATAAAAAGCTATCACAGTTAAAGCATTTTGAGCCTATACAGTCCCAAGAAGTGTTAAACATCATTCCCGGTTCTGACGCAACCACTACAATAAATTCAATAGATACAGATAAACATAGACGTTCACAGTCACTTGATTATAGACAGGTATGTTGATTTAGTTAATGAGCTTATTAGATTGTTAACTTGAAATCAGCCACTTGTGGCACAGGGGTGCCTTAAATGGTTGAGGCATCAGAATTGCAGCCACTGTTCATCCCTATGTGATGGTAAGAAGCGACTTTATAGGTTTGAATTTATGAATCTGTGCATCTCTTAGTTACAGCAGGTGAGGTGGTTTAAGTGGTAAGCTATTGTTATCTTTCCTGTTTCGATGGTATATGACCTGAGTTGTGTTTGTGCACCATAAAAAGCAAACAAAACAGAAAAAGACTTTAAATCAAGTTTTAAGGGTGCCAATGGCCAAGCAATTGAGGCTGTTAACTTCAAATAATTTGCCTCTCTCCACTGTGCAGTTGAATGCAGTGGAGCATTGGATCTACACCAGATATGAGGATAGCCTCTCTCTATACGGGTGAAATAAGCAATTCATTAATATCAATGGGTTAATTAAACTAGAATGTAGAAACTCACATTTTAAAAAAAAAAAAAAATCATTTTCTGAAATATTTTGTACTTGAAGGAGAAATATTGTGTGAACATAAAAGTGAATTAACAAAAATACCTTTATAGCAATGCCTTGAGAGTAATATATATGGTAATAAAGCAAAAGACAAAAGTCGAAGTCTTCAAGTGGTTCATGAATCATTTAATATTCTGCTTGTCTAAAACTGGTGTTTTATTCTGTTCTAGGTGGGTGTAGGTCAAGAAAGATCTGAGGCTGAACCTAAGGTAAGATAGTTATTATATGACCAATTAAGCCGTGCCATGACAAAACCAACATATTGCATTTGCGACCAGCATGGATCCAGAACAGCCTGCGCATCTGTGCAGTCTGATCAGGATCCATGCTGTTCGCTTACAAACCCTATAACAAGTAGATAGACTCTGTTGCTGAGTGGAATCTTTCATGTGAGGAAGCTATCCAACTATCTTAAGAAACATCAGTTGTTCTACTCTGGTGCCATTTCGTACCTTAAATAATGCATAGAGGCACACCTGAGGTTTTCTGAAACAGTTTAGCTGGAAAATGGCCATATGACCTTTACCATGATGGTGCGATGTTAAACGCGACCGGAAAAAAAATGTCATATGTTGTAAAATTAATTAAACATTTTAAATTTAAGTGATGTACATAAAGAACTTGCAAATTACCAGTAATCATCTTGGATACAATACAGGTTTTTTGATTAAAGTGGCAGAGCATTATGAATTTATTTATTTTCCTCTAACCCAACTTAAAGAATAAGAGTTACAGTTGTAATAAGATGGTTTTATATGTTGTAGACTGCTGTAGCCTGGGATCTTCTTGGTGAAGATTTTGTTGATGGATCTGCTGAAAGGCAGGCTGAATTTGCCCTTGCTGCACAAAGGTATTGTATACTACTCAGAATTTAAAAACGCGCATAGTGTGTCATATATGTGTAAGAAGAAGAATAGTAAAGCAATTTTATATATCTTTAGGGTATTTTGTGCCAGGCAATTGTCTTCATGCATTTTATTGCTAAGGTGTCTATTTCTATTCTTTGTATTAATAAGACACAATAAAATATTCATCAAAATCATCATTTTTTTAGGGCACTTCTATAATTTTCATAGTTTTGGTAGATAAGTCAATCAACAAATTTAAGATCCAATGAAATACTATTTCATCTCCTGTAAGATCGTTTTGCATTGCATTATTTACAATTTTACATTTTTTGCAAAAACAGACGATCATTGAGTTTGAGAAACAAGAAAATTTCGAGGGTTCAAAGGTAAAAGGTTATAACTGCCACTTTTGCCGAAATTGACTTTTTATGTTTTTTATAATGTACTTATTGTCCTTTATGTCTGACGAAAATATTATATAAATATTCAATCCTTATAAGGGCAAAAAATTAAAAAGTATTTTGTAATAACTTCTTTTCTACAAATTATTTAGGGGTAAAAGGTTCTAAGTGTACTTATTACCTGTTGTTTACTTGTTGTTCCACATGTTGTGAAGAATCTGTAGTGGAAAAAGGTTATAACTGATTTTATCACCTTTTTCCCCTGACAGAATGCTGCAATCATACAGTTCACAGGCACTATCTGTTATCTCTTTTCCCACGAAATTTATCTTTTAGAATTAAATGCAGCGAGAATATAACCGAATATGAAAGACAGAAAATATTCAGTACATACTGGTCAATGGGTGATTACATAAGTCAGAGGCAATTCATTTGTTTCCATGTTGCCAATAAAGAACCAGAGAATGTATCTAAACAGAGAACAAAACAAAGAACTATTTCGAATTCGTTTTTCACACAGGTAGAAAAGAGGGCGTGAGGGATGTTGCGCTTATTCATTATCTCTCATGTACAGACTCAATCAAACCGAGTCTGCAATTTTTATGTAATTTTTTTGTGATTAATGCTTCCGAGGGATCACTTTGTTTCCAGAATTTTTTACTAAAAACTATCGATGTCGGTTCCAAAACAGTTGCAAACGCAGTTAAGCACAAAGTGGCAGGGTTATATGTTGGAAATGACAAGAGAGGGAAAGCTGTGCCTGAAAATAAAACCACGGAATGTCACAGATCATTTGTAAAGAAACACAACGAAAGCTTTCCGACTGCTGAATCACACTACACACGAAGACCCCAACAGGAAGTATCTAACGCAAGATTTAAATATAAAACGAATATACTCACTGTATGTAGAAAAATGCAAAGGACAAAATAGAAAGTGTGTTTCAGAGGCTGTGTACAGAATCATTTTTAGTACAGAATATAACTTTTTTCTTCCGTCCTAAGAAAGATCAATGTCCACTCTGCAATCTGTATGACACTTTGAGAATAGAAGATAGACTAGATGAGGCAACAAAAGCAAAATATCAAGTACACCAAGTGACCAAAAAGAAAAAAAACAGTGCTAGAGTGGAAAAATCAGCTGATAAAAAACGCACAAAGAAAGATCCAAAGTTTTCTGTGTCAGCATTTGATATCCAGGCTATTTTGAAAACACCACTCAGTTTAATTGGTGATCTTCGTTACAAAAGAAAACTGTGTTGTTGCAATTTGTCATTCTATGAACTGGGAAATGGTAACGGGACTTGTTATCTGTTGGATGAGACACATGGGGAAACCAGGCTCGTGCAAAGTAGGAACTTTTGTGTACTTGTATGTAACCTCTGTTGCAAGTAAGACATCTGGTATTGAAGAAGTGACATTATATAGTAATGCATGTGGAGGACAGAATTGCAATCAGTTTGTTGCAAGTTGCTTAGTTCACTGTGTCCAAGATATACCTCACATCAATGGTAAAACCACACATTTCTTGAAATTGGCCATTCATTAATGGAATGCAAATTCCATACATGCATCTATCAAGCATGCAAAAAGCCTTACAATAGTTCATGTTCCATCGCAGTGGGAAACAGTTATATCATACCAACGCCGGAAGCAACCATATATTGTCGTTCTAATAAAATACAATGACATACTAGATTACAAGTTGTACAAAGAACAAAACTTTGGCTCAATGAAAATCGATGTTGATGGTGAACGTGTTAATTGGCTGAATATATATAAAATACATGGTTGATTTAGGGATGGATAAGGCTTATCCGGTGAGCTAGAAAGTGTATCTTCTCCAGCCCGACATCAACCATGTATTTGTTTTATCCTGCTTTTAATAATGTTTTTAGAATAATTAAATGGTTTCATTCTTCTTTTTCCCCGATAAAATAACATCTATATGTAGTTTTGTTTGGCTGCTAAACATGTGACGTTATCAAATGACGTAATGACTGGAGATAGATAAAGACAAAAATACAGTATTGTTGTGAGCTATGGTTTTGTGGTTAGTGAGTTCAAGGCAGTTAGGTTAATGCAGAAGAAGAACAGAAGCAAAGAAAAGTCTCTTAAGGCTCCACGAAAGGCTTATACAGAGAAGCTTCCAATATCTGCTGCAAAAGCTGATTTGATGTCACTTGTTGCCTCTGGAACAATTCCGAAGGAGTGCGAATCATACTATGAGTCATTGCCATGCAGCAAATCTATAAAAGACAAACTTTCAGTGCCTTCTGTTAGTGAGAGTGAAGAAGATGAGTGGAGGTCATAGAATAATTAATGACAAACATTCACATTTTGTGACATGAAACAGTAGTCTTTATTTACTTAACTATGATATGGGTCACTAATATCCTTAATTGCTGATGTCTGGGGTCTGTTTGACTTCAGTTCGATTATATACCAGAGAACATTCAAAATAAATGAAATTTGTAAACTTAGATTTTAGTGCGTATTTTCGTAAACTTTTTAGTTATTAATTTATTTCTGTAGAATCTAAATATTGAGCAGGTACATATTTCATATTTCTATGAATGAAAAGTGTTAATTTTGTGTACGAGTATTAATGTGCATTGTGTTAATTACATTACGTAAGGTTCTTCAAAGTAAGGACATAATTGATAAATTTGCAACAGTAACAATTACTGCAACATCTAAATTTTTCAGAGGAACAAGGCTATAACTGCACTTATAACCTTTTACCACAGTTTATCTCTAACTTTTATTGCTAAACCTTCAGAAGTTAAAGGTCGTAAGTGCAGTTATTACCTTTTACCGCTCAAACTTGTAGTCATGACAGGATCTAAGTACATTTATTACCTTTTACTTCTGTAAAATGATATTATTTTGATCTTAGAACTTTAAAACAAGCTATAATTACAGTGTTTTATCAGCACCAAGCAATGTAAACTAAACAAAATATGATCTAATGTAGTCAACAAATATGGGAGAATCAAAATTGTTATAACAATATTACGGAAAATAAAGTTGTATTAAAAAAATTTGTTTTTTGCGTTTTTCTCGAAATCTTGAAAATGGCAGTTATTACCTTTTACCTTTGAACCCTCGATTTGTCCTTTTTGACAAGGCCATGAAATTCTATGGACATGAAATTAAATGAACTTACAGTAGTTAATCTTATTAAAATATCAATTTTATTTAACCACAGTAAAAATCTTCCTTTTTTCATGACAGGCAAGCTAGCCGAGATAAAAAAGAATTACAGATGGCAATACGTACCCATAAGGAACGAAATTCAACGTTGTCGAGATTAAATTCGGAACTCAACCAAGAATTACAAGAAGTGATGGAGCAAAGAATAGCGTTAGAAATTCAGTTGGAACATTTAAGACCATTTTCCAGCTAACATATAGTGTGTCGCAGTATTTTGTGTGAAGACTAAGCAGAGATGCATGGTTTTTCTTCTCGTATAGTTTTATTCCAAAATAATAATTACTCGTATATTTTCTTCCGAATTTTTAGACTATTATTGATATAGTTTGTATTTTTTTTAAATTTTTTTTTTGGTAGTAGATGTTACAAAAAGTCAAAATTTACACTGTTATACATGTACTACATGTATGTTGATAACAATAATAGTTTTAATTTTTGTTCAGTGCTTAAGATGTCTAGTGAAATTATGTAAAAGCTTAGAAAACAAAGCATTTTTGTGACACTGATCAAGAGTTCTAAATCATAGGCATCTAACTGCTTGCATCTCTCTATTTATAGTTACTATACAATGGGTCGATTGCAATATATCTTATCATTTATTTACAGTTTACTCAGAAAGACTGTGTGTTGATAAATGTTCAAAGTTATGTTGATAATGAAGTCATTTATTGAGTGTAATTTGGTGTTTTAAAATAACTGTTAAAATGTACAAGGTTGCATTTTCATTATTTGTTCATGTTTGTGTATGTATTGGTTTGCAAAGTAGGGCAAGAGACTCCATGTTATCATCAAATATTTGTGCAATCTGAAATATCATATTATTTTACATTTCATTACTGTAGAAATTCAAAATATCTGAGTAAAGTTTTTCGAGAAAAAAAATCATAGCCACCCGTCCTGCAGCTCCAAAATCCTTTTAGCACACTTTATTTTTCTACTCATCCTGTTGCAAATCCTCTAAAATTATTTTTGAAAATACGAGCTGACGCATGGAATTTACATTCCCTGGTTTGAATCATATTTTTACATGTTCCTGGAAGTTTATGTAGTTGGTAGTTTGCCTTAATATTCTGCTTTTATTTCTTCATTTCTTCCATCTTCATGGAAGCAACATCTTGAGTATTCCACAGCATTACCATTATTCTTGAGTGGAGGGGTGTTTTGAAAATTTATTTCATTCCATGGTAATGGGAAAATCCAACATTGTTTTAGAATGGCCTAATGAACTTGCATCGAGTAGAATTTAAATGTCTGATTGTTTATTTTAAGTGCGAGCTGCTTACTGTATTATATACTTGTGTTAAATGAGTCAGTGTTCGATGGTTATATTCCGGTGGCATGATAGAAAGTCTCCTGTGCTGAAATTTGATTAAACCTAAATCTGAAAATGATTTTGAGTCCATTTAAGGTATTTACTGGTTAGTTAACCAGCAAAGCCAGTAGTTATCCAGGAAAGCCAGTTAGGTGGACCGACTGCAGGGATATTGTTACCTTAGTGCAGTAACTGGTTAAAAAATCCTTATATAACTAAATAGAAGTTAACCAGTAACTACACCAAAGTGACAATATGACCATAAATGTGTCAAAATGTCTCTAAAATGAACCAGACAAACAAATCAAACATTTATAAATAATGGATTTGCAACCTTCTTTAGTGATAATGTTTGTGGCTTATAGTGGAATACATTTATCATGTTTTGTCAACCATTGTGTAAAATCTTCGGACATTGTGTAAACCTATCAAATAACAGGATATTGTAAATGGAACTAAAATATATATAAAGAAGCGTTTGATATTCAAAGTGCTGATTTTATAAGAAATTTTGGCATAAATTGGTATTGTTGCGTACATGTATTTTAATTACACCCTAATATAGGAGTTTGACCAATGTTGTGATAGTCCTCTTTCTTTTTTTTAAGAGAGATATAGAGGTCTTTGTGTAAACATTTTATGTATTTTAGACAAAAACAATGCTTTATAGCAACCTTGTCAAAAAACTTTTCCCCCCACCCTTAAAAGTTCGTTATGCTATATCTGTGTTCAGTTGAACCATAGGTTATTGGATAAGTTTTGTACAGAAGTCTGTAAACCCTCCATTTATTTCCCATATCAAAAATAATGTAATGGTTATATCCCTTGCTTTTCTGCTTGTAAATGGTGTAAACTGAGGAAATGCCATCTAGGTGTTTGATATTTTTTTGTTATTATGTACCTAGGACAAATAATATCAGATTTTGTCATTTTGTGTTCTGATACCTAAGAAGATTGCATTGGTATACCATTCTATTTTTAACCCTTAGTCTTCTGGCTGGCAACTGATTTTAATCTTGTGACCAGTGCAGCTGAATGTCAGTGATTCTACTCAGGTGCCTGTTTGTGCCTGAAATAATGCATGGAAGGGCACCTGAGGTTTTTCTCCACCAGTAAATCTGGAACATCGCCAAATGATCTATACTGTGTTAATGTGACGTAAACGTAAAATCCAATCAAACAAATAAACAAAATTATCATATTTACACTGTTCGCCATTCAGACAGTAGTCATTTTGAACATTCTTCCCTAAAAGTGGTAAATGGTTTAGACCGGATTGAGAGATGGACAAGTCCATTTAAAATATTAAGTGTGGCAGGTGTTAATTTTTGATATTAATTATATTACTTTAGGCAATCTTTGTGTGATTATACTATCAAACCCCTGTTAGATGTACCTTAGGTGCATCCGTCATAGACATATTTTACACAGTAATGGAATGAACAATGTATAACCAGTTTTTCATTTTTTTGCACACCTGAAATTTTCAGTCTTAAGTTATGTATGTTAGAGAACTAAGGAGGTTTTTGAATTTACAATATAGCTAAACATACAATGTTTGCAGAAGAAATTAGATATATCTGACTAAAATTCAGAGCTTATGTTTAAAGAATTACATTATTAAAGCGCTGATTTTAATCAGATTAAAATTATTTATGAAATTATTTTTCAATACAGATTTTGCTCGAAGGCTGGTTAGTACTACAGAAAAACAGTTTCTTCCCTTGAATCATAAATGTGTTGTGTGTTGTTTTTTTTCTTGAAAACAAAACTGTATTGTTTAAAAATATCTGTGACTCTCGCAATAGTAAATCTTTTATGTTTTAAGAGCAAGGGAGATTTTACTAATGCACACAAGTCCTTTTGTTTTAAGAAAGGCGAAGTAAGGCTGAAAAAACATTCCCAAATAAACATGTTTAAATGGGTGTTATACTGAACTCAGTAAATGTGTGTTTTTTTCAAGTTAATCCCCTGGTACAAAAAAATACTTACTGTTACAGCATCTTGATGGACTACTGTTTCCAATAGTCAATCTGTTGCGCTTATTTTTCAAAGTTATGACATTGAAAGTTTGTTTGTCATCCTTTATTAACATAGTCTTAATTCTGGATTAAGTCTATTGGATGAAGTTATGTAACTGTCAAAGATAAAATAGAATTGATTCTTGTTTTTCTTCATTTTACTATTCTATTTATGATTCTTAATTGATTTTTAAAACCTGGATCTTTTTGAATGTTGTTATGTGTGCTAATGATTTGTCTATGTCTGGCTAAACTTTCTAAAAGTAATTTAATGCTACCTTATTTAAGCATTTTTATAATCAACATCCCTCATTGTAGCAATGGATAGGCCCATTGTCAAAGGAGGATTAATCCATTATACATTAGAAAGGGTAACGAGAACTTTGCATCTAAGAATCTATTTCTTGTAAACTTAACTTGTGGTTGAATCTCAATACTATATTAATCAGAAAATTTTTATTTGATTTTTCTCTGGTGATATATTGTGTAAGCTAAATTGCATGGACTTTGCTTATTACTTTTACTCTTTTAGGCCTTGCTATGAAAATGGTAGTTCTAAATATTGTGAAAATTGTAGAAATATTATGAAAATTATAAAAAAATATTACAAGAACAGTACATACATTTACTTAACAGATGACATAGTTTTAGGTGGATGAATACCATTTTCTGTATTATGTAATATATGTATTGTGGTATCTTGTTCATGTTCTAGGTCAAACAGAGTTGCAATAAATCCATACCAATGTTCCTTTTTTTAAGTATACATTGTGTATCTTAAACTTTTCTCGTGAGGTGCTGAATGGATAAAGAAAGAAAAGAAAATCAGCAAGAAACAAAAGAAATAAATGTTGGGGAAAAATACCCAACAAATTTATTTTAGAATTATAAGGAATTAAAAGTCTTGCTTTTGCATGAAAGAAATTGGTTTCTTAGTTACCGGTGTAAGATCTAGTCTAAAAAATAGAAAGTAATATGATAAAAACCTTGGTAAGCAAATACATAGCTATACTGTTTTCTTTAAAAATATAATATTGAAATTCTTTAAATTATCATTAAACTGTTCCATATTCAGAACAGGTCAAGTTCATGAAGGGCATTAAGTTGGGGTCAAAGGTTAATGATTTAAGTGTGTGACCTTGATGGGGGTAAAGGTCATACGTAAACTCTTAGCCTGGTGGCAATTGAAATAATCCAGGCAGCCAGTGCAGACCATGATCATAGTCATCTGATAATTGGTCTACGCTTTTCACTCTTTAGTCAGTACTTATGTTGAAAATTTCCCTAAACATTATAAATGGTTTTAGGAAAGATGGACAAGTCCATTCAATATATTTAGGATGGTAACGGTTAAACTTACTATATATCAGTACATATATACAGTATACATGTGTATGTGTAAGTTAATGTATGAAATGTACATGTATATTGGGGTATATAATAAAACATTGACTAGTATATAATTGTTAATAAAGTATTCAAAGGAACAGATATGTAATAAAAAAACATTGGTGCATTTAATAAGAGAGGAAAATGTTTTATTACGTGTTATTATATAAACTATAATAATAATTATAATGTAAGAAGTTGTATTACCATTGAATTGTTTTATATGCATATCTGTTATATTATTGTTTAAAATTATGACTGTATTAAAGCGTATGAATACTGAAGCAAAGTGTTGGTTTTTGATAAACTTGTGAGGCTAATTAAGGATAGGAAAAGGCACGTAGGAGAATATTGAGTCTTCCTCTATAGCTACCTGGTGACTAGCAAGAAATATCTTTGTATAATTCAAATTGCCAACAAAGAAGTAAACTGCACGATAAACAGGTTTGTTGCATTGCAGATGATCATATAAGCAGTGACCTAAAAATATGTATGATTCAAGTATCAAACTAAGTCTTGCCAATAATTTTTAGTATATTCACCAAGGTTGACAGATTGTGGTCCCCAACTTCAGAAAAGATTGAGAACATGCCTCCAGATTTGTGTTGAATTTTTTATGAAAACTTCAACTGTTCAAGAAAGAAAATGTTTTCAGATGATTTAATCATTGGTCAGGCCCAGCCACAAAATTAACTAGCAAGTTTTCAAGATAATTATGTAGACATTTCTCTTTCGTTAGGAAGGTGGTTGAATTTTGATAGATTGCATGATACATTTAGTGAATATTGACGTATATAACTTATTATTTAATTATTTTTTTCATAGGGAAAATCAACACATGTAACCTGAGTAAAGAATTTGTTAATCTTTAATCAATATTCTACATGTTTTAATAAGAAAAAAAAAAACCCGAAGATTGTAAATAACACAATTCCTTAACTATAGTATTCTAATTAATATGCGGAAAGTTATGGCCTTAAAAAACATTTTCCTGATTTTTTTGCGTAAAATCTCGGGATTTTCATTGGTCGGCTGGTTTCTGACCAATCAGATACCTGAGATCTGAGTCTGAGCTGAGAACATTTCTTTATAACCTTGGACCCAGATTTTCAGTCTTGTGATCAGGTTTATTTACGAAACGCACAATTTAACAAAAGTTTATCCCCCATGATCACACAATACTTTGATCTATTGATTCAGCCGCATTGATTTTTATCTCCGTAGAGTATTAGTCAAGTTGTCTTAACAATTTATTGTGCTAACTATCTTTATTATTTATGTCAACAAAAAATTATCAATATGGTCTTAAAGTGTATTCATTAATAACCCTTGTGTTATTTATTCCCACTTCTTTAATGTACAGATAAGCTTGCCTATGCATGAATTTTTAGAGACGGTTGTTTGTATTAAACATCGATCTGATTGCGACACAAAAATTGTAATACCCAGACTTTAAACATGTTAAGCACATTTATGATTAAGCCTATGTAACACGTGATCAGTTTTATTACTTACCGAAGATCAATTTGAAATTTTTGTTCACTCGGTGACAAAATTTGTTTCACTTCACACTTTGGATTTATATTAAATTTTCACTCCAAGGTAAGATATTTGATTCTCTTACGCTTAAATATGCTCTCTTCATAGTTTACACTGGTCAGGTATTTGTGATAAGTGTATATAGTTAGTTAGTTAATCATGTCGTTGGAATTGCTAATGAATGAATTTATACATGTACGAGGGATACTCGTATACTGTATTTGGTTACCTCGTTATCTAAGCCAAATTTGCCGGTATTGAAATCGAAATCGACACCGAAATCAAAGTTCTACATTTTCCCCACTCACTCCGCACAACTCCACTCCCACACCGTGTACCATATGATTTAGTTGTACATGTTTCGATTGAACTTTAAAGTTATTTAATTTCTACAGTACTTGTAATAAACAAGTATTTCACCACTGACTGAAGAAACAATATAATTTATATGTCGGAAAGGTTAAATCACCTAAAAATAATAATAATAATAATAATAATAATAATAATAATAATAATAATAAATAGAGACATGCTGCCGGAGAAAACATCGGTCTCTTGAAACTTTGGACCACAATGTGTCAACTTTATTGTGTATAGTAATAAATGCAGTTACAAAATACGACCAGATCAAGAAACAACATTAAAAACAACATTAATCTATACAAAAATATGTTTTATAAATCATTCTAATTTATAGACTTTTTCGTAAATTATTAATAATTTCCGGGTTAAACACTATTTTCAGGCATTTCTTGTATTATAATATTGTGCTTATTAATAACCACATTTATTCATGTTATTTATGAAATGTGTGTAATAAAGAAAATTTTATTTGACTTGACATAAATGTATTTATTCGTTACATTTTATTCCACAGCTGGAAATGAAGGTTATTTGAGGGTATATTAGACACTGCGGCTTATACATTAATCTGGTATTCTCTTTCTATGTAAACTTTCTAATTGGATTATAATCAAAGGCGTTTAAAACAGATTAAGATTCGAAACATGTATATACACAAAATGTCGATGCACACGTTGTATAAATAGTAACAAAGGTAATAAACAAAAAGAATCTGTTAACAAACCGTTTTGAAATTAAAAGTAGAACAAAACTGCAGTTAAGTAACTTTATATACACATACATGTACTTTCGTTGAACTTTATTGTAACAAAAGTAATTCATTTTAAGATTGTATTTCACACATGTATCTACATGATATTTATGAATAATCTATTGTTATAAATAAACAAACGTCTGAAAATTAAAATTATTATTTTCATTGACGCAATTTGATATCTTAAGTGCATTTTATGTAGACATATTGTTGGTAAAAGAAAATCGTTCACCCGAATGTGTTAAACTAGTGCGAAGTTTACTTTGTTACGTTGCGAACCATTAGTCAGTTTTGCGATTTTACTTAAACAATTAACCAATCAATTTCCAGGTTTCTCTAATACTTTGCATTTGACAGAATGAATAAAATCAGTAATATTGGCATATTTCAGGGAAAACTCAATAATAATTTAGCCTTATTTATGCAAATTGCATTTAACTTGAAATTCAAGGTGTGTATTTAAATTTTAATTGTATTGTAATCTAAAACTCAGCTGGGAAAATTCATACAAACATTTTATTCAACTCGTTGAGATCTTCAGTTCGCTTATTTTTCAGATAAATTAAAATGACATTAAAATAATCTATAGTAAACATGGAGTTATTCCAAAATACAGTTTTATCTATGTTTGCTCAACTACTTATAGATAAAAGGTCCTCTTCATTCCTCTTCAAATACAATAAACCACGGCCATCCATAACTAATGTTTGATCTTCGAAATCACGAAAGACCAGTCTAAAATATGCTCTGATATGGTTCTGATTATCTCCCCTGACACGCTTGATGTAGTTTATAGCTATTACCTAACTAGTTTCACGTTGTTTAAGTTACATCTCTTGATATAATTCTAACTCCCCCCCCCTCCCGATAGAGTTCTAGTCACCTCCCCTGATTTGGTTCAAGTTACCTCCCTAGATCTGCTTCCAGCTATCTTCCCTGATGTGGTTGTAGTTACCTGCCCTGTTGTGGGTGCAGTTATCTCCCCTGGTGTGCTTGTAGTTACCTGCCCTGTTGTGGTTGTAGTTATCTCCCCTGATGTGAGTGTAATTATCTGCGCTGGTTGTAAAATTTTACTTGCCCAATGTGGTTTTTGTTACCTCCACTGACACCGTTTTATTAACAAATACATCTCATGATGTGGTTCTATTTACCTTCCCTGATGTTCAGTTGGGTTATTAAAGTTTGTCTGGCCATTGATCATACTATATATATTATTACATAAGCCTGGAGAAATTGAGTGGATTCATAAACCGTCAAACATCCACCTTATGTAATATTATGACAAGTGGAACAAAGATAGATGAATTTGCAACATTTCGAGTACGGTTGCCGACTTGATTACGGAAGCCCATTTAATTGTTCTACTTAAATCTTTGTTTCTTCTGTGTCAGTAAAATTTGTAAAGTCTCATCATCAACAACAACAACTTTGCCAAAAGAGTATCGTATATCGTGGATCACTCAAATGCATCATTGTTTGTTGCAGTATTTTCTATTGAATTGCCCATTTTAAAATATATAAATTTGTTTATTTATCAATTTCAAACCAAGCCTTTTTTTGAGTTGATGCTCATTGTTGAAGTGGAATGTCATGCAGTTAGGTTAGAGTTAAGATAAGGTCCTATTCAACATTGCAGCTCTTACTTTAGGTCGAAAGACAAGAGGATATTTGACGATTTTAAACTACAGTAGCTTTAGATAATGAAGATGTAACTCAATGACATTAACAATGATCTAAAAAAAAATTGTCAAAGGACATAAATGTCACGGCACCGGTATACAAATAAACATTTGTCTATTTATCATATGTAATCTTTAGTTTGTCATACCATACACCCAGGGTAGACATCCTTTGTTTAATTGGTGTCAATCGATATTTGATCAATCAATCATGTATGTCTAGAGAGAAGAATTAACCTTTTTGAAGGTAGCATGTACGTAAAGATAAAAAAAACGTTTCTTTTAAATGCCTTGCATTAAACATTTTTTAGTCAAACTCTAATGAAAAATGCAGAAGATTGCCAAATGTTTGTATTCCCTTTCCTTCAAAGATATTTTTCCTGCATAGTAAGATAGCATTGCCAATATACAACTATATATGAATAATGAGCGAAGTGTTTCGAATGAAGATTTTAAGAAAGATTATGACTATAATGAATTATTTCAGTTCACGCCCTTTAATCATATACGAGTACATGTATAATGATCTTTGATCATATTACGTATTTTAAGATTTTCTATCTATGATATTAATAGAATTGATGGGTTTCTTTACTCGATTCTGTTAATCTCCAAGTAACCAACCTTGTTTGGCCATAACGTTACGGAACATAACGGAACGTAGCGTAGCTTAGCATAGCATACTACTATTGGCTACATTTACTTTTGTTATTGAAATCCCATTTGACCCATCCCACCTGCTTTTGGGCAATTCCAAATTCAAAGCAGGGCACGCTTACAGTGTCAGCGTGGCGGAGTGGTTAACACGTCGGACTAGTAATCTAAGGATTGCTGACAGCGTGGGTTCAAACCCTGTGAGGGGCAAGCCGTTGCTTCCTTGAGCAAGAATCATTACATTCATTGCTTAGTACTGTTTGGTTCCAGGAACGGATTCGAGAGTGTTTCAATAAGCTTATAGCTTCCAACACAATCGAACTAAAATAAATTTGAATAAATTAAAGCTGCACGCTTCCAGATGAGCAAAAATGTTTCAAGAATATTAAACTTGAGAAAAATGAACTAAGATTTTAAGAAAAGTTCAAGATCCCAGTAATAATTTAAATGTTATGTGTTATTAATATCCGCTTTTACAGTATTTATCAACATGTTTTTTTTTACCTCGTGACTAACGCGGTAAGGGCTATATTTGCATAGCTTGACCTTATTTGGTAGATTGTAAGCAATGTGTAAATTACTTTTGTTGTTCACTTCAAAATATTTTGCTTTTTTCAAAATTTTCATGAATATTCGCATGAATCTGGAGGCATACTGCTTTAAAGACACAATATCTAAAGTGAGTGTACAACACAATATCTAAAAGAGAATGAAGATTATTAAGCATTTTTCCTAAATACATTTTAAGTATTTTAAGCCTTAAACACTATGATAGGATTTGAATCATTTTCAAATTGAGCGTCTCGGAAGTATATAATGTGTTAATATTTTATGTACAGTTAACATTTAATCGGAAATTGTTGGCAATTACAGTATAATGAATGAATAAACTAAGCACGTAAATGTTTGTATATTTGAGTAAACATTATTACGTCCTAACGTGTCGGTCTGACCTTTTAAAGTAAACACTATTTCTTTCTGACATATCAGCGCATTTAGCACAAGACAGCTTCACTTAAGGAAGCCGATGATGTTTGCATATTTCATTTCTCAAATAAGTACCTCCTAAAAAATCAGTCATTTATATTTCATCCACAGTATGTACGCGTTTCATGGTTTTATTGTATTGGTTATTTAAGCTCAATTGCGAAACAAGATCTTGCAACATATGTATAGTTATCACTTTCGAGTTTGTTTCCTAGAACCAACTAGTGCTGGTGTCAAATGAAGAAAGATATGGGGGGGGGGTGATCTGATTAGGGCTCGAACCCATGATCCCTGGGTTGAAAGGAAGTCAGGCCACCGATCCATTTTCATTGCATTGTAGCGAGGAAATAAACTTTAACCCTAAGCCTTGTGCTACTCATGAAACCAGTGCAGACCAAGACCAGTCGGTACATCCGTATCTTCAAATCATGGTCTGCACTATTCACTATTCAGTCACTATACCTTTTTTTTCAACTACCATCATTTAAATGTATTTGCAAGTAATGTACCAATTTCCACACAAGTTACCCTGTAGGAAACAATAAAAAATGAATAATTCCAAAAAATAAGACAACACGCGTTGCGCGGAAAATTTTTAACAGACAGTTCCCCATAAAGGTTTTCCAAATTTTCTTATTAATTTTGGCATTATTTTGCACAGCAGATGTACATTTGACTAAAGCTTTGTTTTGTACATAATAACTTTTTGCTTGCGAGATTGGCCCTTATCGGAAATGATTGATTGCAATGACCTAAAATTCTAAAAAAAAGTTAAATAAACATTGTTGATTTTTTTCAAACACTCAGCATTTTTAAAATACAAATGAAAATTTTGCTTACACCCTATTTTGACAATTTAGTGTAAATTTGTAATGAACGGACACTCTATATTTTTTTGAAAAGGTATGTAAATAATGGCCTCTTTCAATTAGAGAAATTGTTAACATATCAGTATCGATCTGTACGTTGTATCCTTGTTTATTTTATCTGACAATGTCGAGCAACCAAGTGCTTTCCTTGACGGATTATAGATTTCAGATAATATATATTTGAAACAAGAGTATTAAAACCCTGGGAGAATTGGACGAGTTTAAAAGCTTTAAAGATTTTAACTTTTACAGTGGGAATGATTTATATATAAAAATATATGTACATTGTATTAGGAATTAAGCCGGAAACACGTGTTGTGTTTTTTTCTTTCTAATATAAAGAGGACATGTACGTTATGATTGCACGAAATAAGAGTACATGTCATGTTTGCTCAAATGTGTTTTGAAAATGATTGAGGACCTAAAAGGATTTATTTGAGGCCAGTAGTAAGTACAAACGAGATTGAGCAGTCATGATTCCAGTATTGTCTTGTATGCAGTTAGCGGCGAGCATGACTGGTAAGTAAAATATAAATACGTGCAAATAAGCATGCTTCTATTTGGCATTTATCAATGCAAAATTGTTATCTCTCTCTTAATTTTGGTACATTTTTCTACAGTAATTTCAATTTTTGCTGAGTTTGCAACAATTATTAGATAAACGGTAAATGAACAACTACTTCATTGACAATCAACTACTTGTACTTCATTGACAGTCAACTACTTCATTGGAAGTGGGTTTTTGTGTACTTAAACAAGTATGCAAGTTGTTTGTGTACAACACATATACAAATATAAAGATATTTGCGATAACGTGCTAGAATTCTACCAATTTCTGCATATAATGAAACGTACCTTTGATCATTTTCATCATAAATTTAAGCTTTGATAGTATTGCATTTAGTAGCCAAACTTGAATACTATAGTTGTAGGAAGCAATTTTAAGTTGAAGAAAAATGTAAGGCCATCATCTTAAAGCCAAAAACAACTATTATAATAACTTGTTTATGAGTGTTATTCTACAGTATAATCACACTTCAGACCAAAATCTTGAAAAAAAAAGAAAGACGAAAAAAAATACAAAAACGAAAGAAAAAAGAACGCGTTGCAATTTTAATATTATAACAAAATGTGAATATATACAGTCTATATCCATTCTAATTGCCTTCAATAGAATTAGAATCAAGGGCAGCAAAATTTATCTTCATTGCTTGATATTCGTCATACTTTAGCAACCCGTGAAATGGACTGTTCCTGCCTTGAATTTGGAACAGTCCATTCAAGGGATTTCAATATATCAAAGTACAAAAATTGTATACAGAGCCTCGTCAGGTACTGGTGGCAAATTTCAATCACTTCCGGTTCTAGTTGGTTAAAGGTTAGCATGTTACAAACCTATAAATGCTTATACATGTACAAAGCAACAAAGAGCGAGTTCATACACTACAGAATCATGGCTCAAAAGGGATTTAAGAATTTGTAGAGTATATCATTTTTGTAAAATAGCATATCAAATTTATAGTCATTGAAATAAGATCGTTCTCATTGCCGTAAATCAAAGTGTACAGTTTAAAATCGATGGAGAACTCGTTCGTGAGAGTTTTCTTTTATGATGTATAACATTACATCTTTTTTATGTCGTCTGCCTTTTCATTCAAATGACGTACATTCATTTAGCAATTTCCTTGGTTTGATTTTTCAAACGTAGACAGTTGTCTTTATACAAATGCAATATCTTTTGAAATCATATCCTAGATCCTATGGTGTCATTTATTATAAGCCCTATGAACTTATGTCCCTGATTCCTACACTCTTTGCATTTAACCTAGATAATATGTTGTTATTACGTACATGTATATACCTCAGATCCCTACGTCCTTTGAATTCGATATAATGGTGTTATTACTTATATGCCCTTTGTGTTTATGTCCCATATCCCATGGTGCTATTTACCTGCCTGCCAATTGCATGGTCATCCTTGTCCCTTAAGTCATATGCGTCTTAGAAATTCCTTTTAAATTTTACCCATGAAATAATTTATGTCATGTGGTACCAGTTAGGTGGGCACTAGAATTCTTATATATGAATATCAAATACGAAATCATATTTTCATCTTACGCTCTTTTTTTATATCAACAGTCTCGTGAAGTTACTGTCTGCACGTTCATGTTGCATCTTTACCATGACAACCAATGCGTATATTATATTCAGCTTATGTTTTCCCTAGTAGTACTTTAAAACATTTGCGTGTCCAACCATGGCGTCCGTAAAATTTGTACACACTAGCCCCCATGACAGTCCCATTTTAATATCAATTGAGATCGGATCCACACCCTATTATAATGGACAAAAATAGAGTGCATGAAAATTTAATCAGAAGTCTTTGATGTGTCTACTGAATTTATGATAAGAACGCTAATTTGAAGCATTTTAAGGCATTTTAAAGGGGTTACACGACTTACCGGAATCGGCCGAATTACCGGAATCGACCGGAATCGGCGGTGAATTACCGGAATCGACCTGTAACTTTGTAATAATTAAACTTTTAAAGTTTTTTTCTTGCAATTTTATAAGATATAAACAATATCAATGATTTATGAAAAGATTTTTATAAATAAAATCGCTTTTGATTAATTTAACAAGAGATCTAATATCGGCGAGCTACTGCCAAACTGCCTGTGACCGGAATCGGCCTGTTATTTCGTTGTTTATGCAACTTTTAATGTTCCTTTTGTATGTTTTTATAAAACCTAAATATTATCATTAATCTTCCTAGAGATTGTGAAAAAAATCGCTTTTAAATAATGATAATAATAAACAAATATTTATGATCAGCGAAAACGGGCAAACTGTCGGAATCGGCAAAGGATTACCGAAATCGGCCTGTAATTTGCTTATCTATATACTTTAAACAAAATGTTTGCACCCTTGATTATAAATAAACAATAGCAATGATATGTAATCAGAGTATTGTCAATAAAATCACTTTTTATTAATTAAACAAGATATTTAATATCGGCGAGTTACTGCCATACTGTCGGAATCGGCGAAGGATTACCGGAATCGACGTATAATTTAGTCTATTGTACTTTTTAACGTTTTTGTTGCATTGTTAATATTCATCTTATAAAATATAAATATTATGAAAGATATTTAAAAGTTTCTTTCTTTCTTTTATTTTGTAAATTTCAATTCGCCTTTGGTTAATAAAGCAAGAGATCGAAGATCGGCGAGTTACATATACTGTCATACAGCCGAAATAGGCGAATGATTACCGGAATCGGCCTGTATTATTGTAATTTATGGACTTTGCAAGAAAAAAATGCAAACAATATAATAGATGTGTTAAAAGATTTCTGTAAATGAAGAATCCTTATTAAATAATAAGCTAGAGATCTAAGGTCGGCGAATTACTGCCATATTGCATAATTATATGCAGTGCCAGGGCTATCGGCCAATTACCGGAATCGGTCTGTTTTTCCCCACCAATATTTCAACGTTTGAAAAATAACCTTGACTTATTTTATTAAATACAAACAATTTAAAAGATTTTTATAATGTTTATTGAAAAGAAGCAAAAGATTTATGAAAAATTGCTGTTATAAATAATAAAAAGATTAATATTGAAGATCGGCAAAAAACGGGAAACCTGTCGGAATAGGCGATGGATTACCGGAATCGACCTGTAATTTGGTTATTTGTGAACTTTTTGAATATTTCTTTTGAATGTTTTATATAAGATATAAACATTTTCAACGTTATTCATTTTTGTAAGTAAATTTGCTTTTGATTAATAAAACAAGAGACCTAAGATCGGCGAATTACTTTTAAATATCTTTCATAATATTTATATTTTATAAGATGAATATTAACAATGCAACAAAAACGTTAAAACGTACAATAGACTAAATTATACGTCGATTCCGGTAATCCTTCGCCGATTCCGACAATACTCTGATTACATATCATCGCTATTGTTTATTTATAATCAAGGGTGCAAACATTTTGTTTAAAGTATATAGATAAGCAAATTACAGGCCGATTTCGGTAATCCTTTGCCGATTCCGGCAGTTTGCCCGTTTTCGCTGATCATAAATATTTGTTTATTACTGGAACATACGATTATAGTACATCCCAGTTTATTAGTATCATTATTTAAAAGCGATTTTTTTCACAATCTCTAGAAAGATTAATGATAATATTTAGGTTTTATAAAAACATGCAAAAGGAACATTAAAAGTTGCATAAACAACGAAATAACAGGCCGATTCCGGTCACAGGCAGTTTGGCAGTAGCTCGCCGATATTAGATCTCTTGATAAATTAATCAAAAGCGATTTTATTTATAAAAATCTTTTCATAAATCATTGATATTGTTTATATCTTATAAAATTGCAAGAAAAAACTTAAAAAGTTTAATTATTACAAAGTTACAGGTCGATTCCGGTAATTCACCGCCGATTCCGGTCGATTCCGGTAATTCGGCCGATTCCGGTAAGTCGTGTAACCGTTTTAAAGTATTCAAGAGTGAATAGATTTTGTTATAGATAATTATGCCACTGTAAAGAGTTTCATTTGAAATGGGAATACATAATTTATGTCATATTAAAATATTTATCAATGAATTAGACATAATTGTCCTTTTGTCAATAGTCAATCCCGCCTGGATTTCGTTTTTATGAATTAAAGAGATTGATTTACCGCAAATCGTTACAAATGGCGTAATGTTGTGTTACAAATGGCGTAATGTTGTACGAAAAGGTGTCACTGTACGCCATTATTAACGTAATATTGCGCTAAAATGACCATTGTACGTTTATAGTTAACAAAATATAAAAGACTGGTCTTTGTTAGGGACGTTTTGTAAATATATATTTCTTCTCTTCTCTTTTTCTTTTGGGTAATAGTTGATTGGTAGTATAGGATTATTTGAAATATCATAAATGTTTACAACATTATTGGTAATAAAGTTTGAATAAAATGTTTGAATTGAATTTCGTCACAATGAATCCAACCTAACGTTGTGGTGTGTGGTTATTTTGCTTTGCTGAATGTGACACTAAATTTTTATTCCTGCTTCAAGACTAAACATGTTTATTCTATACATTACATTTATTCCATACATTACATTTATTACATACGTTTATTTTATACATTTCATTCAATAAGAATGGCAAAATCGAGTCATGTCCACCCATTAAATTGAACATGCATGTCTTTTGATGGTGATGAGTATATAAAAGCTAAATCTGAAACCGGTTTTTATGGTGGCTGATTTGGTACGCTTTTGTGCGTCGTGTTGGCGCAAGCGACAACAGGACAAACCGCCAAACGGCACGTTGTCGGACTTTCGTCTTGTCGTCCTGTCGCTAACGATATACGCCAAACGGCGCGTTGTCGTGCGGCGTGTTGTCGCAATGTCACATTGTAGCTCGGTGGTTCAAATCGAAGGATTGGCTTATAAGCCAAGCAACAGGGCGACATCTCGATAACGCGCCGCACGACAACGTGCCGTTTGGT